TCTTCTTCTTCTACTGGTGTGCTTTTGGATGGCTATATTAATGTTTCTCTCATTTGTGACACTACCATGATTACATTAAGGTAAAATCAACATATTATCTATCAAAGTAGAAATAGGTTATTCACTAAAGTGAGAATTCAATATCGAACAACTGGCATATGTTTAGGTTGAGATAGTTACTAAGGAAGACATGGCAGATAACTGTTATTAACAGGGATAACAGATTACCTCTCTTGGAGACCAACAGGTATTGATATTGTGTGGGAGAATAAATATATTTATTCCTAGTTTGTGGGACTTAAAAAAGATAGAACACCAAGCCAATATGGAATATGGCATGTAGAATAGTAAATATTTCATTTTGTGAAATTTGATTAAACGTTGGGTATTCTTAATGGCCTAAATCTTCCTACATCATTACAGACAACCTCCGCCAATCCAAAACTTACCCATTAGGGGGGGCTACTGTGCAATTGCCGCACTGTATCCGTTAGCATCTCCTAATAGAGATGTGTTAAATCAATCCATGTCTGGGGAGAATTTGGCATCTTCAGGCAGAGCATGAAGACACCAAATGTTGGTCCTGCAAAGAATGAGTGACATTCACTAGACTAGAAAACATTGTATTTGTAAGACTGCAGGGGCAGTTTATTTATGCCAGAACCACTGCTTTAAGCTGTTGTGATTCTTATGCTTTTATGGTTTGAAAGCTAAACAGTTGCACGATATGGTATGCTGCGATTATACTTTTAAGTCACTTAATCCAAAAACACTAAACAAAAGAATATATTTGTAGACCGTAGACAACCCCTGCCCCTGAATTAAGCAGTAATACCTTACGTATAGACCTTTCTGAGAAGTTCCCACTTACAATTTCCAGTTTTCAGAGATTGATATATAGGGCCCTCACTTTTAAGGGCAAATAGCAGCACCGAGCTGCACTTTACACTCATCATGGCATCACACTTGCAAATTTATTTTAAAGTAACATTTAAAGCGCCATAACCTCTACAGCATGTTGTACTAATTATGCCAGACGAACCGTGGCGCCCCACCCCCCAATGTAAGTAGTCAAACTGATTTAGTAACCGTATGACTTTGGGTCGACTGCATGCCACTCCCTGCTTCCTCTCAGCCTTCAGTTCATGGTTAGTTTAGTGGCTCAGAGCATCAGCTGATCTTTCAGCAAATAGGCGAAGCACAGCACTGGAGGACTTGGTTCAGAGCGGAGAGGAGGCAGGGAGTGGCGTCCTGTGAATTCCCTGTAAAAAGTCAAAACATTACTTAACCCCTGAAGGACACATGACATGTGTGACATGTCATGATTCCCTTTTATTCCAGAAGTTTGGTCCTTAAGGGGTTAAAGGGATACTATAGTCACCAGAACAACTACAGCTTATTGAATTTGTTCTGGTGAGTAGAATCATTACCTTCAGGCTTTTTGCTGTAACACGGTCTTTTCAGAGAAAATGCAGTGTTTACATTACAGCCTAGTGAAAACTTCCCTGGCCACTCCTCAGATGGCTGTTGGAGATCCTTCCTGGGTCATGGCTGCCTAAAATGCATCCCAACATTCAGTGTCTCCTCCCTCTGCATGCAGACACTGAACTTTGATTCAATTCATCTCTATGAGGAGATGCTGATTGGCCAGGGCTGTGTTTGAATTGTGCTGGCTCTACCCATGATCTGCCTCCTTGTCAGTCTCAGCCAATCCTATGGAGAAGCACTGTGGATCAGGCCACCACGTCTGATGATGTCAGCAGACAGCTTATTTTTCTGAGGCAAACATCATGCAGAGCTACAGTTTCAGGCTTGAATACAAGTAAGATTTTGCTATATTTAGGGTGGCATGAGGGGCCTAGGGGGGCTAGATGGTGGTTTTAACACTATAGGGTCTAGAATACATGTTTGTGTTTCTGAGCCTGTAGTGCTCCTTTAAGTTTAACTTCTAATGTTGTTGGGGCAAGGCACTCCTGGCACCATAGTCACTACATCACGCTGTAGTGATTATAGTGCTTGAAGTGTTCCTTTAATCTGTTTTTGAAATAATATTTGCTATTTATATAATGTAGATATGACTAAGTGCTTAACCTACTAAAATTGCATAATTCAAATTGCAGCAAATGTAGCAGTATGTTTTGATAATAGCAAGATTTCTCAAGCACATGCAAATAAAGATTTTTTTTTTTTAGAAGTATGCTTCAAATATAATGTGATACAGTGCTATTCATTAAAGGACCACTATAGGCACCCAGACCACTTCAGCTCAATGAAGTGGTCTGGGTGCCAGGTCCATCTAGGATTAACCCTGCCTTTCAGAGAAACTATGTTTACATATGGGTTAATCCAGCCTCTAGTGGCTGTCTCATTGACAGCCGCTAGAGGCGCTTCTCACTGTGATTTTCACAGTGAGAAGACACCAGCCTCCATAGGAAAGCATTGAGTAATGCTTTACTATGGACTGACTGCGCGCGCGGCTCTTGCCGCACATGCGCATTCAGCCGATGACGTCTTGCTTGTGTAGTCTGATGTATGTGACACCTCAAATCACTAACTCATCTTTTAGGGATTACGGTAACTGCTTCTTTTTGGTTAAAAATATTTTATACATGCTTCTACTTGTTTATTTCAAAAATTATGAAACATTTGTAACATGGCAAGACAAGAGTAGAAGTAAAAGTTAGAGGTTTTTAAAAAAAAAAAAAAATATATATATATATATATATATATATATATATATATATATATATATGACTGGTGTGCAGATTTTTGTTTAGCATTGTATTAACTATCCACATACTTCAGGTGGAAGGGGTTTTCAATCACAATTTTTCCCCACCATAACCTATTTGGATTTTGCTTCCCAAGCACTACCAAGCCTCAATAAGCAAACCAGTAACCAACCTCATGCTGAAGAGTTGCATTAACAACGAAACAGCTGTCCATGAGTGGTTCACTGGTTTTGCATCTTATCCTAAATTGTGTTCCAAGCAGTTGTATACTGCAAACACAAATTAAAAGGAATCCATGTTTAAAATGGAATGAGGCAAAAATGTGATTCTTTGTTAAACTAATTTGCATATGCCCACCCAGAATCCTTTGCGGTTGTAACATCACTGCTGATTTGGGATTTCTGTGGGAAAAGCAAGTCTTATGGCTTGACTGGTGTGCAGATTTTTGTTTAGCATTGTATTAAATATATATTTTTTAGATTTTCTTTTTTTTTTTTTTATATATCTCACATGACTGTAAAACATGAGCAAAGTTAATTGGTTTATGAATATTTCAGTAAAAATGGGGTCTCTTTAACCTTTAGGCTGCGCTTGGACACACCTATACCTGTAACCTACAGAGTAAAATATCAAATTGTTGACCTGTTTGCAATCATGAACTAATGTTCCTGCTTTTCTATTTCTTGTTTTCTGGATTTGTCTACACTGAATGCATGTGAAATGCTAATCACACAGCTTGATCTGTCAACATTTGTATGATTCTGACTTCAAAGTGGCAGTCTTAATAAAATGTACTAATAAATGTAGCAATATGAATATTGTTACATTAAGTCTGGAATTGTATGCTAATTTGTTGTGCAATATAGTAGGAGGGAAATTGACTGTGGTATGTTGTATTATTGACAGCCCATTAAAATATTGTTAAGATACAATGTATAAATTGTATTTGCGTCAAATGCTGGTAAGGTCACAGTGTACATGTGTTGTGCTCTACAGTCCTCTTCTTCAGATTGACATGAGGTCTGCAAAAGTGTGTACAACACTCGGTGTGAAGGCTAACTTCTCGTGGTAATCTCAGAAAAATACTGTAACTTTTCTTGTATGAAAATAGCAATAGGAAGTTCCAATAAGAACTTTTTGGTAAAGCTGTCTAACATTTTACCATAAATGTATAGGTGTTCCTTAAACATGCCATAGTTTAGAAATCAAATAAAATGTATAACCTAAAAATCTACTTTTGTCCCTTACAACTAATAAGGCAAACTCACCTTATTATGTGTCCTCTTCTGTAGTTACTAATTGACTTGAGTAATAAGTGTTATAGAAAACCTAATCGGACCACATATGTAGTTCGTTAAATTTTTCCGTTTTTGTTTAGTATTTGTAACATGGTTCCTGTTTATAAATAAAGTTCTTAGTTATTTTGACAGATTGGAGTGATCTTTATATAATCTACTAGACCAAGATTTAATTGGTCATCAGTGTCACATTAGTAAACTACACTTAGTGATTTTTGTTCAGCCTTGACATGAATTCATTTGAATATAGAATGACTGTTTGCCTGTAGGTCTGAAGATTCAAGATTTGAAACAAAGAAGCTTGATGAACGAGAGATGAGAAAGAATGAGAGGAAATCAAGAATAAAAGCTCAGCCTGTTCTACATGTGTCTTCAAAACCTGCTTCAGTAACCCAGTGTCCACAGCAATAGACAAATCTTGTCTCTAGTAGTTTGTATATATACTTGAAAAATTTATCTTTTCCAACATCAAACTTTATTAAAATTTTCTATGTTAAAATCGACAAGATATTTGTCAAACAGCATATGTGTTTGTGTATATAAAGTCATAGGCATAAGCATTCATACAGTTTGTAAATTGTACACAACAAATATATATATATTTTTTTCCCTCTTTTAAATGAACCCATTAAGGACGCAGCTTCAAAAACTGGACTTACCCTTAAAGGACCACTATAGGCACCCAGACCACTTCAGCTTAATGAAGTGGTCTGGGTGCCAGGTCCATCAAGGGTTTACCCTGCCTGCTGTAAACATAGCAGTTTCAGAGAAACTATGTTTACATATGGGTTAATCCAGCCTCTAGCGGCTGTCTCATTGACAGCCGCTAGAGGCGCTTATCACTGTGATTTTCACAGTGAGAAGACACCAGCGTCCATAGGAAAGCATTGAGAATGTTTTCCTATGGACTGACTGAATGCGCGCGGCTCTTGTGACGCATGCACATTCGGCCGATGACGTCCGAAAGAGGAGAGTCCCCAGCGCCGAGGGAGCCTGGCGCTGGAGAAAGGTAAGTGTATAACCCCTTCCTCCCCCTAGAGCCCGGCGGGAGGGGACCTATTAATACTATAGTGCCTGGAAAACGAGTTTGTTTTTCAGGCACTATAGTGGTACTTTAAGGACACAAGCATTTTTTTTTGCGGTTTGTGTTCAACCTCAGTATGCCTTTTTCTTATTTATTGCACCAACACGTTGTATATCGTTTTTTTAAAGGACAAAAAGGGCTTTAATCTGATGTGACGTATACATATATAAATTCTTATTTATTATAAAAAAATCCAAAAAAATTAAACAATTTTTTTTTTCACAGTTTAGGCAATAATAGCTTGTGTATAAGAAGTGCAGCTTAAGGAAAATAATTTTTAAAAAAAATATTCAATTAGTTCTGATTTTCAGAGTACATAATATGTCTAGGATTTCAGTTTATTTTGAAAATTACAGGTCACAAAATACAAGGAGTAAAATAAAATTATATTGTGGAGCTATTTTAGAATTTGGTATGTTTGTCTTGTAAGCTTAATAGCCATCACAGAAAGCAAAATTGCCGCACAAAAGTATATATTTATATAAAGCACACATGACAGGCTATTTACCAAAGGGTATTCTGACACTTTTTACGTAGCCATTTCGCTGCCAATCTCTGCTAAACAGTGTAGTAAAATTGTGGGATTTTTTTTCAGATTTCTAACATACATACATAAAAGAAGGATTTTTTTTAATGTGTATTTCATAAAGCTGATGTATACTACTGCTGTAGAAAACCCCATATTGTTTTCAGCCATATCAACGGAGTAAAACGATACCCCCAATCTATGCCTTTGCCACTATCCTGTGAAGTTACAGTGCCATAAAAGAGACCTGACCATTTCAGTTTTCAGTGATAATTTTGATAGATGAATTTGATGGGTGAAAGTCTCAATTGGGGAATTGTAGCAGTTTAACTGTTGAATTTATCCCTCAAGGACCTACCATTGGTGAAAGTAGACACTACAGTGTATCTCATATGGTGTATATTGTGCCTTAACATGATGCCATTTTTTTCACCAGTTTATGTCAAACTTTGTGGTAAAATATTTTTTGCATTTTTTTTTACATACACATTAAATTTTTTGGGGTCATTTTTCAAGTCTGGTAAATGCCACTGTGATCAAAACCCCATAATTATACTACACAAACTCTTCAGAATAAAACAATACCCCCAATGTATGTCTTTGCCACTATCCTGCTAAGCTACAGTGCCTTAAGAGTCCTGACCACAGTTTTTACAATTAGAATTTGATAAATGGATTTGATGTATCTATATCACATTTTAGGGCATTGTAGCAGTTTGACAGTTAAAATTACCCCATAAATGCATACCATTTGTGAAAGTAGACACCACGGGCTATGTCATATGGTATATTTTGAGCTTTATTATATAGTTATGTTAGCACCAATTTCTTTCAAATTTTATATTGTTTTATTTTTGCATTTTTATACACACATGTTGGATTTTAGTGGTTAATTTTGGAAACTAGATATATGCTACTGTAAATTAAATCACTAAATTATTCTCAGCTATATATCCTGAGTACAAAATGACCCCCTTTGTACACCTTAGCCAGGTTTTTGTGATAAAATACAGGGCTAAAATCGTACACGGCCCAGTATAGTTTTTTTTTTTTTTTAATGGCAAATTGATGATGGGTCTTTTTCATTTTGGGGCATTTTAGTCGCTCATATATTTAAATTATGCCACCAATGTATACTATTTACAAAAGTGGACACCATGGGGACTCTCACATAAAATATTAGACGCTTTATTGAAGTGACATTTTGTTTCAAAATTTGTGGTATTCATTTTTATTTTAACATTTTTACATACACATAGTAATTTTGAGGCTTATTTTTTAAATCTTGTGTGTCCCGCTGTCATAAAATTATCCTAGCTGTACTCAGCAATATCTTCTCAGTACAAATATACCCTATATGTATATCTTTGGAAAGTAGCGATCTTAATCCCAATCTAAATCCCTAATTCTAAACCAAATCTAACCCTCAATCTAATAATAAACCCTTACCACAATCCTCACCCATAACATAATCCCATGTGTAACCTTAATTATAACTTTAATCCTAATCTCAATCCTACCTTTAGCAATAGTGTTAAAATGATTCCCCCTGCTGGTGTAAGCAGAGGAATTCCCTTGCTATATTTATATTCTAATCTAAACCATAATCTGAATCCTAATCTGAAACATAATCCCAATACTATTAATTATAAACCTAATATTAAACATAAATTTACTAATAAACCTGATAATAAATCTAGTACTTATTCTAAACCGAATAATAATCCTTAATTTAATCTTAATCCCAAAGGTTTCCCTCTACTAATATCAGTAATGATATTAGTAAAGGGAATGTAAACTAAAACACAGTGGTATGTTGCTGCCATCTACTGGCTATTTTCAGTATTGCAGTTTCCCATCTCTTACATTGAAGACATTATGTCCAATGCAATGCGATCTGTGCTGGGCAACTGAAAATGCCCAGCACTGATCAGAATGGCATTGAGGCATAGGGGGTGACCATCCAGGGTCTGTTCAGGGTCTCCCAAGCACCAGATCACTTGAGAGAATGACTGTAGCTGAGCTTGATCGCTCAGCTGCAGTGTTCTTTGTGGATTTAAAGGGCTCTGCATGCAGCTCATCAAAAAGTCTGGGGCCTCTAAATGGCCCCAACTGACAGAGGGAAGCCCCAGCTATCTATTGATACCTAGGTTTCCTGGTGTGAGCAGATATTAAACCCTGTTCACACTACATTGCTGTCTATGGGGATTTAAAGCCCCATTAAAAGAGCTGCTTGCCGACCGACCTCACTTTGAGCTCTGCGTGCAGCTCATCAAAAAGCCTGGGGCCACTAAAAATGGCCCCAGCTGACCGAGGGGACCCCCAGGTTTCTAATGATACCTGGGATTCCTAGTGTGAGCAGGGATTTAACCCTGCTCACACTGTATTGTGCTCTATGTGGATTTAAATCCCCATTTAAACAGTTGCATGCCGATCTCACTTTGAGCTCTGCGTGCAGCTCAGCTGTCAGTCTGGGGACATTAAAAACGACCCCAGCTGACAGAGGGGAGACCCAGGTTTCTAATGATACCTGGGTTTCCTGGTGTGAGCAGGGATTTAACTCTGCTTACACCACAATCTAGATATAGGCATTTAAATGCCTATTTAAGCAGATACATGCTGCGCTGACTTCCAGCACTGCATGTAGCTCATCAAAAAGGCTGGAGTCACTAAAAATGTCCTCGGCTGATAGAGGGGAGCCCCAGGTTTCCATTGATACCTGGACCTCCCTTGTGTGAACAGGGATTTAACCCTGATCACACCGAATTGTAATAGTGGGGATTTAAATCCCCATTTAAATGCTTGTTTGCAGTGCTCACTTAGAGCTCTGCAAACAGAGCATCGGTCAGTCTGGGGCCACTAATTCTGGCCCCAGATGAGTCATAGTTACCAGCAAGGTAATAAACCCTGCTGGAAAAATACTGCATGACGGAAATTTTCCGTCATGTGTCCTTAAGGGTAGGACCAGCATGACGTAAAATTTCCGTCATGCGTCCTTAAGGGTAGGACCAGCATGACGTAAAATTTCCGTCATGCGTCCTTAAGGGGTTAAAGGCCAGCCTTTGTTTCTCTTAGAGGGCATATCTAATTTGTATACATTTAATTTTAACACCTGGCCATTTGTTAAAGGGAAACTCATTAAAGTGGTCTGGGTGCAGTGTCACTGTCCCACTTAGTCCTGCAATGTAAAAAAATTAGAGAAACTACAATAATTACCTTGCAGCACTAAGACTGCCTTTAGTGGCTGGCAAGCACAAGGACATCAGTCAGTGAAATCCCCATAGGAAAGCTTTCCTATGGGGAGTGCCTAAGTCGCTCACCGTGCATGTGTAATAGCCCCTGCCACCTGTCAGCTGACATTGGATGAAGCGAGGCACTGACCCAGCGCCGACATTGGTGCTTGAATTGGGTTAGTATACAAGATATATAGATATCTTTTGCATGTTGGGGGGGACCAGAGGGCATTATAGTGTTAGGAATATGTATTTTTATTTGTAACACTGTAGAAACACCTAATCTAAAATAAGATTCAAATATCACACAGAGATACAATTTTTTTTAAATCTATTTTTAGTAACATTAAATTAGTAGTTTTACATCTCAAATGTATTTTTGTATCTGTTGCATGGTGGGTTTAAAAGAAGATGAGACTGATACTAGGAATAAAAAAAAAATGCAAACAATCATGTTTTAAAGTATATTTTTATTTTGATATATCAGAATTTTGTGGCTCTGGAGATTTTATTTGATAAACACTTTTTTTTCATGCAGACTTGAAATTATTTAACTGACCACTCTAACTTTGTCGGCTTTTGGAAAGCTGTAAGCTCAGCATAAACTTTGTGTCCTTATAAACATAATTGAATGTGGGTACTACTTAAATAGCTAAACCATAGATTTGATGTAACTTTTTCTTTACATCTAATATTTGTGAATCTTTTATAGTATAACAAACATGCAAGGTTACAATGTACTGTTTTATACTGGTGCTTATTGGATAATGATGAAAATGTATTCATACTTACCTTAAAGGACCACTATAGTGCGCATTCAGCCCGTCGCATAGGAAAGCATTTACAATGCCTTCCTATGGACGCTTGCGTACTCTCACTGTGAAAATCACAGTGAGAAGCACGCAAGCGCCTCTAGCGGCTGTCAATGAGACAGCCACTAGAGGATTAGGGGGAAGGCTTAACCCATTAATAAACATAGCAGTTTCTCTAAACCTGCTATGTTTATGAGAAAATGGGTTAACCCTAGCTGGACCTGGCACCCAGACCACTTCATTAAGCTGAAGTGGTCTGGGTGCCTAGAGTGGTCCTTTAATTTATTTTCCTGGCTTTCATCCAAGGGGCACATATATGGTTGTGTTAGCACATCTCAGTATAAAAGTCAAAAGAAAAATGAACAAACTACTAAAAAATATACAACCCAGTCTTTTAGGGATATTCACTGAAGTGAGACTTGTTGGAAATTTAGAATTTAAAGCCCAAATAACTGCATTAGTAAAATATATATATTTTTAAAAAGACCAAGAACAGAATTACAGTAACTATAAATCATAGATAATACCCTACTGATGTACTGCTAAATATGGAAAATACAATGTGTACACAAAACAGGATCTGAAAAATTGATATTCGATAACCTTGTTAGCTAATGATCCTGGATAATTAAAAGACACTGCATCTAAGGGGTGTAATGGGATTCTATATAGAAGAAATACGGGGTAACTGTCTCTGGATCTCCTTTATTACTCCACTCTGGCAGTTGGATGGTTAATAAGAATAGCGACCAGTCAGATGTGAACCTGCCCCACCCAAAATAATAATTATGGTGGTAGATCTGTTTTTGCCTCCTCTACACGCTCACCCATACGATATATGGAACCCAACCAATACATTGCATTGCTCTGACAGCTGTGCCTCATTTTTGTAACACTTGTTTAAATATGTGTATAGATGTACATCTACATACATTGATAGACACAACTCTGAAGCATGATTTGGCCATCATAATGCTTCCAAACCAACCAATCACAACACTGTAACCGAAAGCTGTTTGCTTATCCATACTGGAATGATAGTACTCAGACCAAATGTATTCCTGGCATCAGCGGTGCAGGCACTTAAGTTCCACACTTGAGCAATAAACACAGTAAAATAGCCACATGATATACAATACCTTTTTCAACCAGAAGTTCCAAGAAAATATTGGCCCTTCACCTCTACCAATGACACACAGATAAACACGTTACAAATACACATGTAAATAAAGAAATTACATATTTTTAGTGAACCCAGAGTTTATCTTTTGGGTTTAGGAGGGTGGCTTTGCTAGGGTTCAGTGGCACTGGGCAGCTGCAGGTGACAGTAGGTTAAGACTGTATGTGGCTAATAGGTCCAGGCTCCATCTCCCCATCTCTTCTCTCTGCTTCATACATCAGGAGAAATTGTAATTACACTTTTTGTAATGTACATGTAATTACATCCTTCTGGAGCTGTTTGTTTTACAGGTATACTCATCTTCGAGGGGTGCAACGGACAGCTGCTATTGGCCCCTGTAAAGTATGGGGCCCAAGGCAGTTACCCTTTTCACCCTGTGGTAAAGACGTCTCTGGTATGAGATTGTTACAGATTTTGTAATTTGAGGTAAAGGAATGTGTGAACAGGTAGAAGCAGAAGAAACAATGCTGGGAAATATGTCCACAGCAGAAATCGTTTATATATATAATATTTTTATTATATATTAAAAAATATATACTATATTTATAATGATAATTGTCCTCTTTGCATTAGGATATGGTTGAAATAATCTTTTTACAAAATAGAAGTGTTCATAACAGGAGATGAAAATTCATGGATTACATTGTGGTTGCTTTATATTAAAGTTAAAGTGTTTAGGAGTAACACAAGACAAACAATACATGAAAGGAGAACAAATAAAAATCGAGAACTGATTAAATTCTATTGGTTTACTTTTGCATTTTGCAAGTGTAGATACCGCAGCTGTGCTATCTATGTCAATTGCAGTTTTTCTTCCAATTTCATCTAGTGTAATTCATCTATACACCTCTGATACATTCACTTAGGAAGCATGACCATATATAGTGCAATGTTAGTACAAAGTAATGGCCCTGTATTTACAGCATTGTAAAATATACAAATATCAACTTGGTTTCACGGTAAGAGTTGTTGATGCATATTACAATAATGTTTTTGAAAACTCTTGACCATTACATGGACCGTATTTGTCTCTTAACTGCTGATTTGTTTTGCATAACAAATTGAGCTCAAAGTCAACTATACACAAGAGCTGAAGCTAATCTTACAAATCTACCATGTAGGCATCATGTCAGGAAACCACACTCTTCCCAGATGTTTTGACACTTCGTAATGAATTTGCTCCAAGTTGTACTTGTTATCTGGAATAAGCACTTCCTCCATTATGGATAACTGAGTCAGTCTTCTTCCACACATTTTTACAAATTCAACAAATGCACTGCAGGTAACTTCACACTCTCCCAGTCCAATGGCGGTCAAGTTCTTGCAACGGTCAGCAATTCGTATTAACTCATCGTCCAAAGGTTGAAGCCCATTTGCACACACTACTAGTTCAACTAAACGAGGACAGTTCATGCCAATGCGACCTAGCATTGCTTTACTAACTGCACGACCAAAATAAAGGTGTGTGACAGGTGTTTCCTCTCTGAAAAATGCGTCAAATTCCTCTTCATACAAAAAGAAGTACATTACAATGTTTACTTTAGGCGAATGCTTGATGAGCGCATCCCAGCTTTGCTTCTTAATAGTATGAAACTGTGTTTGACCTGGATTTTCGCTGACAACATCAATACGCAAGTGTTCAAGGCGAACATGTTTCTCGGTTGAAAGAGCCAGTAATAGCTCATCACTCAGCAGATGGTAATTCAGAGCCAGCTCCCTAAGACCATGACACTGATCAGCAACACATAAAATTCCTATGAGAAAAAAAATAAACTAATAATTAGTAGCCCAATATAATTCACATGTAATAGTTTAATTGATTATTCAGAGACATGTCCATATGTTTTAGCACAAATAAGAGTGTAGTGAAAGGCAAAGAAAGAGATTCATAATAAATCATACTAGGTTATTTTAGCTTCTTTTAATCTATATGATAAAACAAATATTTTATGTTTTAATATATACACTGGTAAAATTCAGTTGAAATAACAAATGAAAGATCACAATATAGCAGTCTGTAATTGCACATATGTTATTTCAGAATAGTGGTTTACAAACCACTCCTCAGTTACCACCAACTAGTTAGAAGCTAGTGATTGCTTAAAGTAACACTCTTGGCACCAAAACAACTTAATTTTGATGAAGTTGTTATCGTGCCCAGACTGTTTCTTTAATTTTCTTGAAATGGTGTCAGGATTTGGAGCAATTACAGTCATTTTCTAAGAATGTGTCTACCCCTTCTCCCGCTTGCAAGACACTCCTGTTTCATACAAAACCGGGAATTAGGGGCAAAAATTGTGCTGTAATCTGATCCCTGCTGCTCAGCGCTCTTGAATCTTGCCAATTGTGACAGTCAATAGGACAAGGTGTGGAGACAGAGAAAAGCAGCCTCTACTCCTGTGAGCCTGGTAAGTACCATTCGAGTGTGCTGTGACAGAACCCCAAGGTAATCTGGATGAGCATGGTGGAAATCATGAAGGAGAATCAACAGTAACCAAGGGCTTAAGTACCTTTTCTATTCCATCTTTATGACTTCAGGCTAGAATTCATATGCAGACGGAAGGTGGATTCTAACATCCTTGAGATGTATTGTTTTCAATGAGCCGAGTTGCCAGTGGTTGTAGACATTGATTGCGGCAAAGGAGAATGCCACAGTAATGGTGGTCCACTGGAAAGTCAGCTCATGTTATAACCGCAATATGATAGAGAACAGAGGTGATGTCAAGTTAAAATAAATATGTTTGATGTTTGCCACTCCTGTTGTAACCCAATAAGGAAGATTCACAAAAAAAAAAAAAAAAAAGAACCATTAGCTATTTGAATGCTTAATGCATTAGGTGTATTGTGTGAAGGAAAATCCAAAATAACAGACAATTACAAATGGAACCACCAGCCCCAGAGTTCAACAAAGCTTGTAGCTTGATTTTCTATTCATCCCACTGCAAAATAATGGGTATGGTTAAGTGGTGTGTTATGAGACAAGGAGGGAAAATGGGATTTTTTGATTAACCGGTAGATATATTATCTCTCTTCCTTGGTGCTTTTTCAGGGCAGTACTGTGCATTGTGTTTGGGTTTTCTTAATAAAGTTCCTTAAGCATAAAGTGCCCTTTCACAAGTTCTAACTGATAGCAGGAATGTTGCCAGGCTGGGCCGACAGGGGCTGAAGCCCCCAGTGAGGTCCTGATCTAATTTTGGCACCTTTTCATTGTTAGCGCTGAGTGTACCGAAATACGCAGAGGACTAAAACCTCCAATTATATAATTTGAAGTTAAATATGCAGCACAGTGTAGAAATATTGCAGTGGATGAGTTAATACAGCAGGTGTGGAGTTCAGAAATCTAGGTTCATTTATTACTCTGGATTTTGTCACCATGTAATTTATAAACACATTAGTGTTCAGAGTTGGACTTAGGGTGTAGTACAAGGTTGGTTTTAGAAGAGGCTTAAGTCACTATATATCTCAGTGGCCATAGAATGTACCCTTAGGCTGAAGCCCTTTTTCCACCTAGAAACCCCCTGCCTGATATTTATATTTTTCTGATTGGAGATTAGCTAGCTCTTCTATGTCTCTGGTACTCCTGCTCTGGCCAAATCTTAATTAAGCCTGGCGTAATTAGGCCTATTCAATGCAGTTAGTTTTTATGGCATGATGATCAAAATTTTAATATATTCTTCCACGGGTCTTATAGAGCATTGCACACAGTAACAGCAGTATGTGGGTCACTGCGGAGTTCCTGCGTTGCTGTTTTTAAGGAATCCCAGATATTCTAAATGGGGTTTTGAGTGTACAGTAGGTGATGTGATAGGTGAGTCCGTGTCTCTATGTAAAATGTACTACTGAATTGCTTATCCTCCTAGGCTAGATTCAACAAGGAAATCTGCAAAGCAGCATGGAAACTATATTAAAAGAGATTTAGGACTTCCACATCCATTCCCCCTGCTAAGAAGTTCAGAGTTATAGAGCCTCACTTTGTGGATTGTAGTCCCCAAGTCACACCTAATGACTTGCTGGGGGTATGTCAATGGAAATAAAATAAAGGAAAATAGTGAAATTGACAGTATATGAAATCCTGAATTAGCAGGATAATATGTATAGAAAATAATTATATATGTGGTTATGGAGGAATTAATACATTGGGTATATAGGTGAGCACGAGGAGGTAGAAATAAAAATACTATGTATCAGAAAAGATATTGCAGAAACATTTTATAAGCAGAATAAGAATGAACAAGAAATGAGTAGAAAGAGGAGAAATGTTTATATATCTTGGATTTATAGGCTTAAATATAGACCTGTACTTTTCTATATTAATTAGTTAAAGGGATATTCTAATCACCATGGCCACTTAATTTGAAGTGGTCATGGTGTTTGGAATCTGTATGTGCATTTAGCACATTGCTGCCAGAGTAGTAATTTCTGGAACTCTCATTCCGATCTGGCTAATAAAAGATGTATACATATTTGGTGTCAGCATACTGTCATTAGACAACAATGGCTGTGTGCCCCAAATCCCCTCCGTGCCATCCAAGTCCTGCCATAAGCCTGTCTTCCCTGACATCTCTCATCCTACAGTGAGGGGGAGTAACATCAATGGAGGATGGAGGATCTTGACCTCGGTGCTGAACCACAGGTAAGTTTTAGCTTTCTTTGTTTTCTTTTAACAGGGATAGGTCCGTGCCAAGAAAGGTTACTCTGTTCCAAAACAGTGTTTTGTGAAAAAAAAAAAAAAAATTTCTTGGAGTAATCCTTTAATGCATCTTTAATTATTAAGTTGTATGCGCTGTCAAACTAATCGACTTCCCAGTGTTAATTCTTAAAAAACGCCATACATACCAGCAGGAGAAACATGAGGGCAGCTACTCATTTTCAACAACTTCAAGGTGTCACTGTTATTAGCCACTAAAACTTTCAAAGATGGATCATCCACAGGAGTATCATCAATTTTTATTGATGACAGTGATTTAGAGTTTATGAAAACAACTGTCAGGGCAGATACAAAATGAGACTGCAAGAGAGAGAGAGAACAAGTAAAAGTTATTTTGCAAATATTATAGGTCACCAAAATATAAATTTGATTTTACAAGTAACTAGCTAATGTATTATTCTTCTAAACATAATAGACAAGCAAACCTTTTTTTAAATCAGACTTCAAAAACATATACAGTTTGTATTAGTAACACGAGGGGGGTGGGGGATAATGTTGACATCAACCAGAAGAAAACTTGTAGCAAGAACAAAGCTTAATTTACAAATATTATAGCAAATTGTCTAGGATGGGGTAGGAAACTTTGGCGCTCCTGATGTTGTGGACTTCATCTCCCCTGATGCATTTCCAGCATTACAGCGCTACGGAATTTGCTGGTGCTATATAAATAATAGTAATAGCATTATGGAGATGTAGTTGTCAACATCTGGAGTGCAGGATGTTTCCTACCCCTGGTCTAGTATATGTAGACTTTTCTGAAATGGATACTCCAAGCACTATAACCACTTCAGTTTATAGTAGTAGCTGTGGAGCAAATATTTTCCCATCCATACATACAAAAACAAGTCCTGCGTCAAACCCCCACTACTCTTGGGTGGCAGCAATGACCATAGTACACATCAGCCCCAATACATACAGTAAAAAAAAAGAAAAAGGTTACCTGCGCTCTTCCCAAATCCCATATTTACACAAAATGAAGGTTATTTAGTTAATCCAATGGCCATTAGAGGGATGCCCACCTGCCACGCCAAGGCAAACCTCTTAGGTGGGTCCTTACACGGACTATTCACCTTGCTTCCTTGAGCTTCTGGCAAAGATATCTCTAATGAGACAGAGAGGGGTATTTTTCTAAACCCCTACTTGCTTATTAACCTTTAATACGAGTGGGCTGCAGCATTGTAACATAGCTGTGTGATACAAAAGCTGTATCTGCAGATAACAGGTGAAGAAGTGGCAGGATTAGACATAGTTTGGCTAGCTGAGCTCGGCAATATAGGGAGTGGGACTAGATTCAATGAATACTCGCTGTTATGTGCGAGGTCCCTGTTCTAGTGCTACTGGAGCAATATTTTGAGGCTCAGCATGTACGTTACCCCTAAGCAAGGGGGCAGTGGGAGTGGGGGAGAGGGGTAGTCTCGCCAAATATGGCTGGCATAGCGGGGTTAAACTGCTCATCCTAGTGGAAAACAAACTTGTCTTATGTATTAAGACTCCTCAGTAATCAACTTTCACAGCTGGTAATCACAAAAGATAGAGATAACTTCAGGAGAAGAACAAAAGAGAGAAAAAATAAATAAATAATATAAAGGAACTGGAATGACATCATATATTATAGGTAGGTATCCAGCTGTTTCAATCCCATGTGCGCTCTCTCCATGTGTTGCTCAGGTTCCTAAGACAGCCACCTCAGTTCTTCGTGGGACAAATGGTGTAACAGTTGTAGGATCCCAGATGTGTAAAGAATGTGGTTGAGGCTCGCCCTGTTGCCAGTTGGGGAAGGCCCACTGCTCTAAAGAATAAGGAAGCTTCTGTAGTAGACGAAAGTCTACGAACAGTTCCCTGTTGGGTCACCAGTAGTGATGTCCCGAACGGTTCACCGAATGGTTCGCCACGGACGGCGAACCGTTCGGGACATCACTAGTCACCAGTAAGGACCTGGAGGGGCCCTAATGATAGGCAACTCCAGCCTCCCGCAGTGCGAAGGTCACCATGGCTAGTGATCTGCACCAGTGGAGCATGTCTCTGGTGAGGTCTTGGAAAAATGTGAGGTTTGAGTTCTCAAAAGGGTATGGTGTCTTACCCCTGATGGCATTCATGAAATGTCCTTTCTACTGAATCAAGGTGCATCGGACTATGGTGTCTCTTGTCATCTCCGCTGGCACCCTCTTTGACTTTGGGAGGCAGTAATTTCTTTGCCAGGTTTGGGGGCAATACTATGGAAATAAGACGCTGCAAGTAGTGCGGTAGCTCCTCCGGAGGGACTGTGTCAGGTATGCCTCATATTTTATATATCGTTCCTCCTGTATTTCTCTTCCATGGAGATCATTTGTACATTCAGTAGCTGATGGGAGGCTTGAACTTGAGCGATTTTGTTTTGCATGACAGAGAGGCCCCTGTGGAGGTCTGTAATGTCTTCTTCCCATGCACAAACACTGTCTGTTACAGCCTGGACTTCTGTTTTGACCACCGCTAAGACTGCAGCCAGCAGTTGTTTAATGTCTTGCAGGAAGTTCTGTATATCTTGTTTCGTTGCCAGTTCAGCCAGCTCCTAGGTTGCCGTGGATGAGTTATTGACAGTAGCAGGCTGCAACATAGAAACGTTCTTCTCCGTGGGGCAGGCTGTGTTAGGGGTCTCATGGTCTACCTCTGGTGCCATTTTAGGTTGTGACCTGCGTTGGAGCATTGTGCCAATGTCTCTGGAGTCAGCCAAGACGCTGGCTGGTTGTTTCTGAGTTTGTTGCCCCATCACAGGCTCCTCCGTCACCGGTTCAGGCAGGGTGTACGTCGAGCCTGGACACTGGAGGTGAGTAGTAGGCTGAAGGCCTGTGCTTCGATCGGGAGCCCTTCAGAGTATGGAAGAATGGCATGGATCTTATTCAGGATGTGACCACAAGACACATGCGACGTGTCTTGCGGCTGTGCAGCGCAGAAGGTTAAGGAAATTCAGGGATAATCGGTTAGGTTGCTGAAGCTTCAAGAAATGGCGTCCGCTCTCCCTCATCAGCAAGCTTCACCACCCCCCAAAAGGAGGATTTTTAAAAGAAAATAAATAAATAACTGTATGCAACAGAGGGAGGCAGAAGGGAGAACACAGTGGAAAGTTGGGGGGGAAAAAAATCTTCCCCTTGTAGGCGTTCTGCAACCAGCCCCCAGCACACAATGACTTGGTATGTGTTGTGTTGCAAGCAGAAACATTGCACATGAATACTCCTATCACCATGGACCACTTTAAATCACTGAAAGCTTTAAAAAACTAAACGTTACCAATGTTATAGAATAATCATAGTCTTAGAAAATTAAAGAAGTAGAAATTTGGTGTAAATGTGTTTATTTTTAAGTTAAACTGTCTGTTTTACATGAAACAAAAAATTAGCTGGATAGAAAATATTTTGCAACTGTGAAATTGATTAAATAATAATACACTTAAAAGGTTTTTAAGATTTTTCATTATCTACATGTGACAAAATATTTCTCTTCACAATAAAACTTTGTTAATTTCATACTTAATCTATCTAAATAATGTTATCAGTGCAAATTGTCCTTTTGTGAAAAATTATGCAATATTCATTTTACCTTCGATACATTCATAAAACTTGGTTTTGCTGTTGATATCAGCCCAAGAGTTTTGATAGAGCAGTTCACAAGCTGTGAAAGTATATCACATGCTGCCTCTGCAGATTCTGTGCAACTATCAACCTAAAAAAGAAGTAAAAAAAATAAAAATTTACAGTGTTAATATGCCATTTTACATTTAACACTCTGCATATATGCCCAAGTGGGCGGCACATAATGACAGCATGGGAATATATATTTTGACAAGCAGTAGGTAACCTAACAGCAATCAGGTATCTCTTACACAATGAGATGCTATTTCTCATCCATTTAGGAGTTAAATCACTTTGTTTATGCACCTCCCCTACTTGTGACTTACACCGTCTCCCTACATTTTTTTGTAAGGAGAGATCTAATGTTCAAACCTTTATTGCACAGTCTGTTTAATTAAAATGTTGTATTTCCTCCTCTGTTAATAGTCTACTAGAGCATGCAGGATTAAGGACACTATAGGCACCAAGACCACTTCATCTCATTGAAGTGATCTGGGTGCAGTGTCTCTATCCTCTTAACATTGCAAGTGAAAACATTGCAGTTTTGGAGAACATTTGGAGGACATTCAGCTCTTCAAAATCCCCATAGCAAAGCATGATGTAATGCTTTCCTATGGGGAAGTTCTAATGCAGGAGGAAGAGATGGAGCCAGTCTCTGGAATAAAAGTAAAAAAAGGTGTTTGCAGTTTCTCAAAAAGAATCTGGGTGCCTATAGTGTCCCTTTAAGCTGTAGTTGTTTTGATGCTTTAACTGTTTTGACTATTTACTCTGGGAGGACACCAGCATTCTATGGGTACCATAACAACTACAGCAAGCTGTGGTGGTTACAGTGCTGCTAGTGTTCCTTTAAAAAGCTGCTTGTGTGTGGGTGACAATGTGTATTGTGTGGTGACAGTATGTGTGTTGTTTAGATGTAGGGTAAGGATAAATGTTGTAGTTGAGTATGTTGTAACTCCATTGGATGAATGTGTATGTTTGAGGTGACAGTCCATGTGTTGTGTGTTGAAGCTATGAGTGATGTATGTTGTTGTGCATGGGTACCATGAGGGATGCGTTTGGGTGTTTGTGGGTAGCCGTGCCCCCTTGCTTGCTTACCTTAGGCAGGAGAGCAAATTTCCCTATTCTCTAATGGCCTAGTGGGTCAATGTCCAGTCCCTTGTGGCCCAGTGGGGCCTGTGATGAAGTTCCCTGAGGGTTTGATGGGAGGAGCTTGTAGTCTGCAATTCCAGGGTGTGAAGATCACTGTAAATTCTCCTTCTAGTCCGGGACAGTGAGGGAGCATTTAAAGTGATCCGCACCTGCCTGAGATGCGGACCACAAGCTCCCTTGAAAAGCTGGTCAGGCACATCATTTGATTTCCTTGCTTGCTACTTTTGCAGTCGGTGTAAGAGTTGGTGCTCCAGCTACATTAAAGGACCACTATAGTGCCAGGAAAACATACTCGTTTTCCTGGCACTATAGTGCCCTGAGGGTGCCCCCACCCTCAGGGACCCCCTCCCGCCCGGCTCTGGAAGGGGAAAGGGGGTAAAACTTACCTTTTTCCAGCGCTGGGCGGAGAGCTCTCCTCCTCCGTCTCCTCCTCCTCCCCGGGCTGAATGCGCACGCGCGGCAAGAGCTGCGCGCGCATTCAGCCCGTCGCATAGGAAAGCATTTACAATGCTTTCCTATGGACGCTTGCGTGCTCTCACTGTGAAAATCACAGTGAGAAGCACGCAAGCGCCTCTAGTGGCTGTCAATGAGACAGCCACTAGAGGATTAGGGGAAGGCTTAACCCATTCATAATTATAGCAGTTTCTCTGAAACTGCTATAATTATGAAAAAATGGGTTAACCCTAGAAGGACCTGGCACCCAGACCACTTCATTAAGCTGAAGTGGTCTGGGTGCCTAGAGTGGTCCTTTAAGGTGTGCATCAGGGTTTGCCTAGGCATGCCTTGCACACCACATGCATGCACCTATGATCAGAGTACTGTCTGATAACATGTGGAAATTACTTTTTGTTGTTGTTTATGCTTGTCTATATTGTTTTCCGAAAGGCAGTTTTTGGTTTTATTTTGGGGTATTGTGCAGAAAGACTTTAAAATGTCTTTCCTGAATAAACAAGAAAATGTAGGGAAGAAATTCTCCTTAAAGATGATAGGATTATAATATTCAGCTGAACACTTTGACAAACCAAACACCATAACTAAAATAGCATACATTTACATTTGTTATATTTATTTCTGTTTATTTATTTATATGTATTATTAACTAATAACACACTATGGAATGTAAACTTACTTTGTTAATCCCCGGTTTTGTCTTATCAATATCGTTCATTTGATACGAATACTGTATTACATTTTTCCTGTTATTGAAAAATTATCAATAAAAAATATTTTAACAGAAAATTGTCTGTACATACCGAAGTGCAATGCAAAAAAATAAATACAAATCTAGACATGAATATGCATGAGTGCATGCAATTTACCAATGCATGAAGGAAAATGACTATCTGTGCCTAAATGTTGTCTTATGTGTTGGCCATTAAAAGAAGAAAATAAGTAAATTATTATATAACATAAAATGATAGTACTTAATTCATAGATTTTGTTTGAAATCTTACCTTGAAGCTCACATATTGAAGATGATTAGCATGTTTTTTAATGATCTGCTGGATTAGATCAGGGTGAGTAGACTTTAAGTATGAAGTTGCTGGCTGATTCAGCTCAAATTCAAATTTCCTCCATAGTTCAGGAATATGAAAAACTTCATTCCAGCGTCGACAAACTGATGATGCACGGGCCCGATCCACTAATGGAAGATACTGAAAAATATGTAAAACTACATGATGGGGCAGGTTTCCCCAGTCTAGCATGCCATATTGCATCTGAAATTGGCCCATCACAGAAGATGGTTTATCCATTTTTTGTTTCTTTGTTCTCTGTTGCATTTGTACAACCTGGCTATCAATTGTAACAGTCAGTCTACCTCGTTTCATTCTGCAAAAAAAGACAATGCACATTAAGATGTTGTACCTGTCGGTTTAAAGTAACAAATGAAAATTGGGCACAAGCTCATGTCGATTAAGTTGAACAAAGGTAACTCCAGCAAATAGCAGAAAATCTCAATGAATAGCAATCTGACCATGGTCACCATGGGGACTCAGTCTGCAAACGCAACGCAACATGGAGCAATTTGTCATGCTTTAAAATATCGTTTTTTATGCTAGTGTTGCTTTTAAAAATATTGGTTGTAGGTAGTTTAGGTAGTATAGACTTATCTCCCTTATTGCTAACATATTTATTTATGTTAGATTATTCCTTTCAACACTTAGTTTCCCCCTTTGGAAGCCTAATACACTAGATAAACTGTGTAATAGACTGTCCCAGTCTCTTAGCACAACCACTCAGTCCACCGTGAGCTTATTATTCTGCTGATCTGTGGTCCAATTCACTGCTACTACTGAGATATACAGCACATGCATGTCAAACTCCATGATCAGCAATCGCATCATTATCTCAATACTTCTTTATGAGAAGAATTATAAACAATTTGAAATCATCATGCTGTGTGCGATGACACCGAACAGAAGATGTTTCATTTTAAAGGTTTTTGTGAGACAACGTGTTAAGTGACAGCCACTAAAGGCATGTTCTGTTACAAATATAAATATTAGTGTTTCTCAATAACTTTAGGGTCAGTGTCTTTGTACCAAAACTGCTACATTAAGATATAGTGATTTTGCTGCTTAAAACAGGGCTGTCAAACATATGATCCGTTGAGCCCACAAATGTGGCTCTTAGATCAGGGGCCCCACCAGCGTTAAGTTTCTCTCCGTGTCCTGCTGGGAGAAAGTGTGGTCAGGTCATGCGCACACACAGGAGGCGGAGTGAAGTCTGGATCCTCAGATGCCCATCAGCCTTGGTCAGCCAGCTCCCACTCGACCCCAGCCACAGCAACCCTACTGCACCAAAAAGGTACGGAGTCAGCAGGGTGGCTAATTGTTAATTGTTAGTTATATGTGTGTGTCTCTGTGTGAATGCATACCTGTGTGTCTGTCTGTTTGTATGTGTATTTGTGTTTGTGCCAATATGTATCTATGTGTATCTGTATGTGTGTCAGTGTGTATCTGAGTGTGTACATATCTGTGTAAGTCCTTGCATCAATCTGTATTTGTGTATATTTATCTGTGCGTATCTGAGTGTGTCAGTGTGTGTGTGTCCATATATGTATCTGTGTGTGAGACAGTGCATACATTCCAGAATTAAAAAAACAACAGTGCATACAAATACACCCCTGCATTCAAACACCAACAATACACACAAACACACCTCTAAATTAAAACACCAACACTACACACAAATACAACCCTGCATTCAAACACTACACGTAAACAAAGCGCTGCATTCAAACGCATACAAAACACACAACTGCATTTTCCAATAATACGGACAGGTACAGCTTTGCATTCCGGTGTCAACACTACACATAAACACACCATGCAAACGCCAACACTACACACATACATCACTGCATTCAAATGGCAATGGTACTCTGGAAAAAAAAAATCTAATGAAGGTGTTTTGTAGAATTTTTATTTAGCATATGTTAAATTAAAATTGCAGAATGGATCATATAGCCAATTTTACAGTTAAAGGACCACTATAGTGCCCTGAGGGTGCCCCCACCCTCAGGGACCCCCTCCCGCCCGGCTCTGGAAGGGGGAAAGGGGTAAAAACTTACCTTTTTCCAGCGCTGGGCGGGGAGCTCTCCTCCTCCGATCCTCCTCCTCTCCGCCCATTTGGCTGAATGCGCACGCGCGGCAAAAGCTGCGTGCGCATTCAGCCGGTCGCATAGGAAAGCATTTAAAATGCTTTCCTATGGATGCTGGCGTGCTCTCACTGTGAAAATCACAGTGAGAAGCACGCAAGTGCCTCTAGCGGCTGTCAATGAGACAGCCACTAGAGGATTTGGGGGAAGGCTTAACCCATTCATAAACATAGCAGTTTCTCTGAAACTGCTATGTTTATAAAAGAATGGGTTAACCCTAGAAGGACCTGGCACCCAGACCACTTAATTAAGCTGAAGTGGTCTGGGTGCCTAGAGTGGTCTTTAAGAATGGGTCCTCAAGCAAACATTATAAATGTAATTTGGGTCCCTTTAAAAAAAGGTTAATATCTAAATGTTTCAGCGTCTAACTTGCTACACTTTCTAAACCACTTGTAAGTCTGTGTGTGTGTTTTTAAATAAAATTTGATCTCCATGAACTGAGTTCTGTGAACTGTTCAGATGTCTATTAATTGATATTAATCATCCTGATAGAAAAGTAAAAATTGTAATGGTATCAAAAATACACATTCCAAGTTATGAACAGTAAATGCATGTCTAGTTCTCCACCATTACACAGTTAAACGTGTAAAATGGACTTACCTGTATGTATGTCAGGAAAAGCAAGTTTACCATAGTAAGAAGTGCATTTCCATAAAGGGAAACAAATTTCTTACCTAAAAAATGCTTCCAAGTTATAGCTTTTGCTGGATGTATGGAATGAGGTAGCCGCTGCCATGGAGCAATCTCCAGCATCCGTCCACTTTGACTTCCTATCTCAGTAAAATACCATAAAATAAACCCATCAGAAATGCACGAATCAAAATAGAACATTTACATTTAGTAAGCACAACGTCACAAATAATTTGTGACTTATTGAAATAAACACAAGGCAAAAATACACTAGGGTATTTGTTTATGAAACATATTGAACACAACCTAGTTGCAAAATGAAAACAAAGTTGTGGTTTTCATCCCTGTAGACTTATCCAAAATTTTGCATATCTTTTGTAAAAGTAGCACAAATGCAATGATTATTGAGAAAATGCATTTCAGTCCATGTCAGACCACCTAACCAGTAAGTGTCCCTTGGTAATAAACCAAATGATATATGTTTGCCTAACACAAATCCTCTTGTAACCTTTTCTTGAGTAGGGCCTTCACCTCTAATACATCCCTTTTCTATAACTGTAACTGTGGAATAAATTCTAATAATAATGTTATATTTGGGGGGTGGAGCTAGCAGTAGACCAGACCAGATGCCCTCATTTGAGCTCTGACTCTAATTATACAGAAATTGAGATATTCAGGTGGAATTTAGGTGCACACTAATTTGAAAAACCTTGAATTGCTACCTGAAGGTAAGCAATTTATTTTTATTTTTTTTAAAAGGCACAACCATCTGAAATATAGGGGATCTCCTGAGGAGCTTGCAAATGTATGCATGGTACAAGATGGTGCTGGGTGGTGAAAGAAACCTTTGACCTAAGAGAGAGGACGTTGTTTGGCCTACTGCCCAAGCACAAAGTTAAGACACCCACAGCTGGGAAACCAGTCATGGCAGCCCTGCTAAAAGCATGCTGGCGGAGCTTTGCATGAACATAGCAGCTGACATGGCCTACTTTAAACACACAGTACCCACCGGTTGAAGTGTCCCCCCAGATACCCAGGCACAGTACCCCAGCATAGGCTCTGAAAAAATTCTGGTGCTGACTGTGCTGGCAGCCCTGTGCTATAATTTTCCTGAACCAGTGGTGTTTGTGGGCATGCGCAGCACATTAAACCACGGAGACACTGCTGATTCATGGCCTCAATGGTCTTATGGCAAATCCGGGTTATCAATAAATAGTCCAACTTTACAGCTAAATGGCTGCATGAAAAACGAGTCAGCTATTATAAAAGAAGCTGTTTACATCTCTGATTTTAGAACTACAAGTCAAAATTATAGGTGTGTTGTTCCAGCAAACCACATAGATATATTTACTGCAATAAATACAAAAATCTAAAAAGTTAAATCCAGTAAATACAAGAAAAAGAAAGATTAATATAAAGGTCTTTAGAGTGGGTCAGTAGCACACAATTTAACTTTGTTAAAAATTGTTATTAAAGGAGCACTATAGTATCAGGAACACAAACATGTATTCCTGACCCTATAGTGTTAAAACCACCATCTGGCCCCCTCATGCCTCCCTAAAAATAGTAAAACTTACTTGTATTCAAGTCTGCAGCTGCATATTTTGTCCCTGTTTCCTTTAGACATGCCCACTGCCTGCTGACATCAGCAGAAGTCGTAGCCTGATCCAATCACAATGCTTCCCCATAGGATTGGCTGAGACTGACAAAGAGGCAGATCAGGGGCAGAGCCAGCACAATTCAAACACAGCCCTGGCCAATCAGCATCTCCTCATAGAGATGAATTGAATCAATGAATCTCTATGAGGAAAGTTCAGTGTCTGCATGCAGAGGGAGGAGACACTGAATGTTTGGATGCATTTTAGGCAGCCATGATCCAGGAAGGATCTCTAACAGCCATCTGAGGAGTGGCCAGTGAAGTTATCACTAGGCTGTAATGTAAACACTGCATTTTCTCTGAAAAGACAGTGTTTACAGCAAAAAGCCTGAAGGTAATGATTCTACTCACCAGAACAAATTCAATAAGCTGTAGTTGTTCTGGTGACTATAGTGTCCCTTTAAGAACAGAACTACTGTCAGAACAAGAATAGAATTTTAGATTTTGTTAATAAACACCTTTGGTGTGATCTCCACTAGAACCATAAAATGGCAAACATTGTGCTACTACAGCATGGTTTACGGAGTTATGTCATCATCATTGGAAGAACTTTGGAAAAAAATATAATTCTATCCCTGTTCTTAAACACCAACGTCCATAAACCATATAAGTGCAAAGTGCTCTATAAACTTATTTTATATAAACTGATTTATTTATTTGATTTTGGTTTAACAGTAAGTACCGTTTATTTTTTATTTATATGTAAGACAGGCATACTCAGTCTGCTCCTTAAAGGGATTCTATAGTGTTATGTGACAGACACAGAGTACCATTCACTGTCCCAGCAATAACGCATATTTGTTTTATTCATAGTCTAGTATGGCCCAAAGTCCCAATGTTCTGAAATAAATATCCATGACTTCAACAGTCCCATTTTTAGTGGGACAGTCCCGTATGGGGTTTTGTTCTGCCGTCCTGCTTTAAATTGATCAAAAAATCTTATAGATATAAAAAATAACTTCAGCGTGACTAGAATTAAAAGCAAAAAACAAATCAAAATAATGAAATATTTGACAATACCATGGATTCCAATTTTTTTTTTGCATTTATAGGTCAAATAGTACAAAAAGTGAATCAAAGGAACACTATAGTGTCAGGAATACAAAAATGTATTCCTGACACTATAGTGTTCAACTACCTATTTAGGTCCCCAGACCCGTTTAGATCGGATAAGAGAGGTATTTTTGCTCACCTTTGTCCAATGCTGCGCAGGTCAATCTTCACCAATCCAATGCTTTCCCATAGGTGATAAGCCTCTAGGGAGAGGCTATAGACACCATTTCCACTACATTAAGCTGTAGTGGTTCTGGTGACTGTAGTGTATTTTTAATGTTTTCAAGCTAAAGGTTTGCAAAATTGTATATGCTGCGGTTAACAGCAAATGCAAAACCACTACTTAAAAGTATATATTTATAGAAGGTTGACTCCTCATCACTCCGTGGTATTTACCTGGGAACATTCTAATACTCTTCATGCAACCAGTCTCTGACAAACCTGTTTTTTTATATTAGTGTTTTTCTCATGTATACACATACATTAGAATTGTACTGTCAATCCTGCAATTCTGCTGTGGGCTAACACACAATCAAATCAACAAACCCACAATCAACTCAATTTACTAGAATAAGTTTGTATTTATTTGTATTTGGCATTCTTGCAAAGTTATGCCATAAATGCTATTTGCTATCTACCAAATTTTTCTTTCAACTGTTTTTAATGCACATTCTGAAATATTATTGTAGAATAAAAGGAACACTAAGGGCATCATAATAACTTTATCAAAATTAACTTGTTATGGTAACAGGAGGTCTGTGGCACCAGCTTACATTTAGGGGTTAAAGCGAGCATGAATAGTTTAACAACAAGTCTGGAATGGAACTTGGCCCCATTTAGCTTGGCTCCTGTCATTCTGTCTCTTTGAGATTCTTGTAAGAGGACAGCATTTGTGAAAGGTTTAACCCTTAAAGGTAATCTTGCTGCCATGGATTTCCTGGCACCATAACAACTTAATTCCAATGACGTTATGTTGCCGGAGTGTTCCTTTAAGAAAGTTTTTCTTTAGTTGAGATAAAGGTGAAATTATTAAAAATATACTTTTTGAATGTGTAATATTTAATATCTAATAAGATATTGTTAAAAATAGGAAATCAGGAGGGAAAAATATAGTTTCTTCAAACTCCTCTGTCTGTCTATTTTAATCACAGTGATTTGTTAAATATTCCCATTTTCTAGAGCAGCTCAGAAAGATCATGTTTGCACAGCACTCCCATAAAGCCAGGCAGAATAGATAAACTAATCCAAAGCTTGGGAAATTAGGCCAACCCAATTAAAGAAGAATAAGCAATACAAAATAGAGGACTGCAATCTATTTTTATTTTCATCTAAACAGATACTTCAATCATAATAAAAAAGGATGCTCTAAATTAGATTGCATTGCCCTAATTAAAGATGATTTTAGGATTCTGTGTCAACGCAAAAAGAAAAGAAAGGAGTGTCAGGCTTTCAAAAATAAATCACGACCTTGACCTACTTACTCATTTATAATGTGCAAGCACTGGAACCATATTAACTTGACTCACTCGTGTCACAAACAACAAAATAACAGAAGTATATTATTTTAAATAACATCTGTGGTTTAAAAACAAGCAAGCTACAAAAATTTACACTTATCAGTGGCAATAACTATAGTGGTGAACTCGTATAAAAATCAGCTTGCGCTATACCTCCCTACTGCCCAGAACAGGAAGAACAGTCATTATTTTGGAGCACTGTCTCCAAAGAATGCAAGCAAACATGTTGATAAACACTTGTGCGAGCAATCCTTTGTCAATAATTAATCCGCAGGCTTTTCAATGTAAACACTGACTTTTTAGAGAAAAGGCAGTGTTTACATTGCTTCCTAGTGACAGACACACAGACGGTCACTAGAGGTGCTTCCTGTGTCAGTGCGGATTGGCTGAGATCATCAAGCTTGATGATCTCAGTCGTAGAGGCAGGGCCAGTCGAGGAGAGACCAGCATGACGTAGGGGGGGAAAAAGGTGAGTAAAAACACACATACCATGACAGACACACACCATGACACAGACAGACCATGACACAGACACACACCGTGACACAGACAGAAACACACACACACCATGACACAGACAAACACACACACACACACCATGACCGAGACACACACATACCATGACAGACACACACCTTAACACAGACAGACCGTGACACAGACACACACACACGACACAGACACACACAACATTGACACAGAGAGACCGTGACACAGACAGACACACATTACATGACAAAGACAGACACACACACACACACACAGTGACACAGACAGACCATGACACAGACAGACACAAATTACATGACAGACACAGACACACATTGCATGACACAGACAGACACACACACACCATGACACAGAGACACACACACCATGACACAGAGACACACACACACACCATGACAGAGACACACACACACCATGACACAGACGCACACACCATGACAGAGACGCACACACCATGACAGAGACACACACACACCATGACAGAGACACACACACACCATGACACAGACAGACACACACACCATGACACAGAGACACACACACACCATGACACACAAATGACACAGACACAAATGACACAGACACACACACATACACTCACACTGACACACACAATTTCTACCTGTGGGGAGCTCTGATGGCGGCCGCATGGGGGAGCTGGCTCTTCTGGCGGCCGCAGAGGGAGCTCCTTTGGCGGCCGCAGGGGGAGCTGGCTGTTCTGTCTATGCTCCCCCTCCCCAGCGCACTGCTTAATGACACCGGGGCCGGAATATGACATCATATTCCGGCCCCGGTCTCATTAAGCGGCGCGCTGGGGAGGGGGAGCAGAGACATAACAGCCAGCTTCCCCTGCGGCCGCCAAAGGAGCTCCCTCTGCGGCCGCAGGTGAGCCAGCTGCCTGCCCGGCCCCAGGTGCCAACGGCCCACCAGGAAATTTCCCGGTATCCCGGTGGGCCAGTCCGGCCCTGGTGTTCAGTAGGTATGCAGTAGGTCACGGTAGGCTTACATTGGGTTTACAGTAATGCCTTAGAGGTACTTAGATAACGTCACATAGGTGTCTAATGTGGGGCTCATATTTGTGAATTTGGAGATGCCATAACTGGTAGTCTAGGTCACTTTTCAATTTGGTTTAGGGCATTGAGAGCTACTATATTGGACCTAGTGATTGTTTGGTAGAACGAGATAGTACCTTAAACTTTTTGACATATTCTTCAAGCAATTCCTGAACAATTTCTGCAGTGTGGCAGGGTCCATTATCCTACTGAAAGAGGCCACTACCGTCATGGAACAAAATTGCCAAGAAGGAATGTCCATGGTCTGTAAAAATGTCTAGCTAGGGATGTGTCAAAGTAACATCAATATGAATGCAAGAAGCAAGGTTTCCCAACAGAACATTGCCCAGAGAAAAACACTGTGTCCGTCTGCTTGCCTTTTTTCCTCAGTGCATTCTGCTATCATCTCTTCCCCAGGTATACGACGCACCCGGCCATCAACCTGATCTAAAAGAAAATGTGACTCTTCACACCATGCAACCTTCTTCCATTGCTCCATGGTCCAGTTCTGATGCTCATGTCCACATAGAAGGCACTTTCGGCGGTGGACAGGAGTGATTATGGGCACTCTGACCAGTCACCATATGCAGCAAACTATGACACACTGTGTATTCTGATACCTTTTTATCATGACCAGATATACGTTTTTCAGAATTTTGAGCAACTGTAGCTCTTCTGTGTGAGCAGACCAGACAGGCTAGCCTTTGCTACCCATGAGCGTCAATGAGTCTCGGCATCCATGACCCTGACACTTCCTTGCACCACTTGTGGTAGATTCTAACCACTGCATACAGGGAACACCTCACAATACTTTTTGGAGATGCTTTGAACCAGTTGACTGACCGTTTTCTTGCTGCCCAATATATCCTACCCCTTGACCAGTGCCATTGTAATAATATAATCAATGTTATTCACTTCACGTGTCAGTGGTTTGAATTTTGTGGCTGATCAGAGATATGCTAGCTGAATTATACTTCCAAGCCAGAGTGTGAGTCATGATAGTAAATACCACAGATCTTTAAATTGACATCCAAGTGTATATGAATTAAGCAGCAGTGTGGCAATTTATGCTGCCTTGTATATTTACCTGTATGGGTTTATTTACATTCAATACAGCCGTTGAGTTGAGAAAGAAGTCTGCTTCTAAAAAAACCTGACCATCTGCATTGCATGTGTGTTACATAATATTTATGAGTAATGTCAGATCAAGTATTCAGGTAGAGGCTGGGCTCTGTCTTCCCCTGTATTTAACAAATACATTGTTTTCCGTTAGTAATTTTTAAATGCATTGTCCTTTGCACCTGGCAGTTAAAATAGGGAAAGCATGCAGAGGAGAAATAAAATAGTATTGCTATTTCTTCTCATCATTTTCAATATGTACCTTGGCTGTTGCCTGACTGAACTTGATTGTGATGTATTTGCTAAATGTTTATAGGGGCACTATAGGCAACCAGACCAGATCATTGTAATTCAGTGGTCTGGGTACCAATCCCAGGGGCGGGCTGGGCCAGGGGGCAGGGAGGCAATTGCCCCCCCGGCCGCCCTAAATTCCTGTAAGGCCGGCCGCGACGGGCCGGCCCTTTAAATACTGCAGCCGCCCGAGCGCTCTGTTAAGAGCCTCAGGCGGCTGCAGCTTCTCCCCTCCCCTCCCCTGTAGCGTGGCCGAGCGAGCTGCACTCCGGTCCGCGGTGGCCGGCCAGCCGGCCGGAGTGATAGGAGGGTGCACACTGAGTGTGCACTTCCTGTCAGTCCGGCCGGTTACAGGAAACAGAAACTCCTGTTCAGCGCGGAACAGGAATTTCTATTTCCTACTACCGGTCGAACTGGCGCAGGAAGAGTACACTCAGTGTGCCTACTATCACCAGCAACAGCACCACGAACGGTAGCTTCAGCCACGCTACAGGAAAGTAGAAAGAAGAGGAGAGTAAGAAAGAAGAGAGGAAGTAGAAAGAGAATAAAGAAAGAGAGAGAGAGAGATAAGAAAGAGGGAATAGAAAGGAGAGAATAGGAGAATAAGAAATAAAAGAGGAGATAAGAAAGGGAGAATAGAAGAGGGGATAGAGAATAAAAAAGAAAGAGAATAAAAAGAGGATAAGAAGAGGAGGAGATAAGAAGAGGAGGGGATAGAAAGAGGGAGGAATAGAAAGAGGATAAAAAGAGGGGATAGGGGGAATAAGAAGAGGGGAGGGAGGGGAATAAGAAGAGGGGAGATAAGAAAAAGAGGGGGTAAGAAGAAGAAGGGGTGAGTAAGAAAAAGATGGGGGAGTAAGAAGAAGAAGAGGAGGGAGTAAGAAAAAGAGGGGGGAGTAAGAAGAGGGAGAGGTGGAATAAGAAAAGGGGGAGGGTGGAGTAAGAAGGAGGGGAGGGCGGAGTAAGAAGGAGGGGAGATAAGAAAGAGGGGGGTAAGAAGAAGAAGAAGGGGTGAGTAAGAAAAAGAGTGGGGAGTAAGAAGAAGAAGAAGAAGAAGAGTGGGGGTAAGAAGAAGAAGAGGGGGTAAGAAGAAGGGGGAGTAAGAAGAAGAGGGGGAGTAAGAAGAAGAAGGGGGAGTAAGAGGAAGAAGAAGAAGGGGGTAAGAAGAAGAAGGGGAGTAAGAAGAACAGGTGGGGGAGTAAGAAGAACAGGTGGGGGAGTAAGAAGAACAGGTGGGGGAGTAAGACGACCAAGGGGGGAAGTATGAAGAACACAGGGAGGAGGGGGGTAAGACGAACACAGGGGGTGTGAGGAGAACACATAGAGGGAGGAGTGAGAAGAACACAGGGAGGGTGGAGGGGGGATGAGAAGAGCACAGGGAGGGTGGAGGGGGGAGGAGAAGAGCACAGGGAGGGTGGGTGAGTGTGAGAAGAGACCGCTAGGGGAGGGTGGGGGAGAGGAGAGACCACTAAGGTGCAGGGGAGAGCTCTACGGGACAGAAGGGGCAGCTCTATAGGACAGGGGCCAAGACAGGGAGCTCTTTCACACTACGCGCGTGCACACACACACAATGCATCCCTATACATACACAGAAACACAACATGCTTCCCTTACACACAGAGAAACACACAATGCATCCATTACACACACACACACAATGCAACCCTTACACACAAAGACAATGCATCCTTTGCACACATACACAGAAACAGACAATGCAAACCCGTACACACACATGCAAACACACACACTTCTTTTCTTACATACACACAGAAACACAATGCATCTCTTACACTCAATGCACACACATACAGACACACACTTTGCATCCCTTATGCATACAAACACAGATTCACACAATGCATCCCTTACACACAACCAGAAACACACAATACATCCCTTATACACAAATACACACTGCTTCCACTACACCCAAACACACTACATCACCTGCACAAACTGGTAACCCTATACACTACATACCATAAGCACACATATTAGATCCTCTACAATAACACATAACACATCCCCTACACACTCCACTCCCTGTGAGCGAACTCATGGGTGGGTGGAACTTATGAGTGGGCCTTATGGGCATACTCACCATCAGGCCCTGGGGCCCAGACCTTGAGCTGTGTAAGGGGCCCCAAAAAATGGAGCTGCTTCCAATTCTCCCAGAACATTGAATTTTGTGACCACAGTTGCAAACAGCCTCCAGAGATCCTGTTCTACACCAGACCAGTGGAGCCAAACTGCAGCCCATCATCATCCTCATCTGCTTGTAAGTAGGCAATCTAGTATATTATTAGTGACACTAATCTATAATGTACCTCACATTAAAGGGACACTATAGCTTAATGAAGTGGTTCTGGTGTCTATAGCTGGTCCCTGCAGGCTTTTTAATGTAAACACACACTGTGTGCAGCACTGGCGTTAGTTCATATGGGTGGGGCATTGTGATGTTACATGGGGGGGCAGCAAATTTTTATTTTGTCTAGGGCGGCAAAAATCCTTGCACCGGCTCTGATCCTGGGCAGGTGCACCAGTCTACTGGTGACCCACAGGAGGGGAGTGCACTGATTGCACTGCACTCTCCTCCTGTCCAGCCCCATCTTTACCGCAGTGCAAGTGCCCTCTGCCCCTAATTTACAGTGGCTCACACTCACAACAAGCAGTGCCTGGAGCCGTGAAGGAGCGGGTATGGCAAAGAGCTACTGATTAGCATAACATCAATATCCGTTATAAAACCAGGAAAAGGTGGGCATGGATGGTGAACTGATTTGGTGGTGCAATGGGCCACTTGACTGGTTTTGCCCTCCAGGCCTAAGGCTGCCAGCCCTCCCCTGACCAATCCCACTCCATGTCTCAATGTATATGTGCTAATAAGTGAAAATACAGACACTACTTACTTTTAATGGCTGTGTGTTGACTTATTTTGAGGGGACAGAAAATGTACACTGTTATACACACTGTACACTTACTACTTTACATTGTAGCATAGTGTCATTTCTTCAGTGTTGTCACATGAAAAGATATAATAAAACATTTACAAAAAATGTGAGGGGTCTACACACTTTTGGGAGATACTCATATCTCAAACAGCAAGCAACTAACCATACAGTGGGTACCTGGAAAAACTAATAGCAATCAAAGGTGGTGTACCTGTTAGAGAAACCAATGCCACTCAAGTTTCTTCCAGCATTAAGAACTGTATTTGGTCAGATTACCATAGTCTACATTTCGATAGGGACATAGGCCATCTTTTTAAAGAGCCGCTTATGTTTGCAGGTATGCGGGTCTGCTTCTCTCAAATCCCATAATTTCCACATTTCCTTGTCTTTATTCTAACCATTGTAATATCATAATCAAAGGGGACTTCTGTCAATCACATACAGGACAAACATCCTTCTCAAAAGTTTCTATACTTGACAAACTAATGCCACTCTTTAATATTTTTGAATAAACTTTTTTGTTTTTTACCTTCTGAAATGCCTATGTGGCTTGGGTTACGTTGATAAAACAATAAACGCTTTAAAAGACACTATTTCACAAAACCAAACAGTGATTAGAAACCCTAACTCTGATACGTCTGTGAATCAACATAATCATGAGATGGGGCAAAATGCCTTACAACTTAGGCACCAGGTTCTTCAGTGTGTCCCACCAACCAAAAAGGATAACCTCATGGGGCTCAGTGAGCAGCTTTCGCTTCCACCACTTTTGCTTCCATTTAGTTTTAACAGCTACCCATCTGTATGGTGGGTAGACTTGGACATTCATTTCAGACAAAACGTAATTTTGGGGAATTCAAGATGATCAGTCAATGTGCCGATTGCTGTGCTGCAGGCAATCAGAATCTCAGATGAGTTGACTTGAGCAAGTCCTGCTCATTTCAGTTTTTGATTCAGAGTTAAGAAAAGACGGATGTAATGGAGAAGAGACTGCTACTGGGAGCACACCAGCTGTGATGTCCAAATGTCCACACCAACTGTGTGTTTTACCCTTTCTGTGTCTGTATAGAAGTGGGATAGCCTGAGTCATAGATTCATAGATTCTATTATGAGATTATGCTTAATTTACTGCTGTATCTAGATAGATAACTACAGCTTGGGGCACTTGAAACAACTTGCACTTCTGCTGATGCGAATCCACCTGATTCTTCATCTACCACAATTCAAAGAGTGGAGGCTAATGTATAGCTTCAACAAGCAAAGTTTGGGATCACTTTGAGTGCCTTCAAGAAGGCCAACTTGCTAAATGGAAATTATGTAGCGATTGAAGAGTCATTACACTGAAGCAACATTTGCAAAGATACCACAATTATTAATTACCACCACCCTTAGGAATACCAGTGAGAGTGGTGAGGAAAATAGAGGCAGGTTGGATAGGAAAAGTCAGACCCCCTATCATCAGAAAAGAAAACAATATAAAAAAGAAAAGTTATTCTTGATGATAATTATATAATTTTGGCAAATCAGAATTGGTATTGCATTTTCCCTGCTGTTTCAGCTTCCCAAATTTTCTTTTTCGGTACCATGATTTGACTGAGCTGAATAGTGGCATTAAATACATTCTGCTTTCCCAAGCGGTTTGGAAGAAGTGAATTTCCCCCCTGCACAAGTCTAATGATAAGATACCTGCTGTTTAGTGATTTCTAACCATATGTGTATTTTTGTATATTTGTAGCTTTCTTTTCACCCCCCACACCCAATTGTGCTCTTCTGTATTAATATTAATTTTTGTTTTTAAACTTTTTTTTTTTTTACTATCTATGGCCTTTCAATATTTCTATGTTGTACTGGATTTTTGTGCCTTTTTTGTTTGTAGTTGCTTTTTGGCTGCCTAGCAACTGAATGTGTTTGTTGTATTATATAGATTTTCTAATATTAGCTTGCTTATTTTTTTATTGTACTCTGCTTCCTTATCTGCATTAAAGATTTGGTATATTGCATTCTACACTGGAGTGATGCTTAAAGATGTACTATTATTATTATTTTTTTTTTAACCCAGCAACGCTTTTCTGTGCATGTGCATTGGATGACTGCAATGTCGCCAAAGAGTGGGAGGAGCCAATAGCAGAGAAGGACCTGGGGTAATGTTTATCTTGTGGGTTATGGCGGGTAATGAGGTTTAAATGTAATTAATCTCTGTATTTTTACTTGGGGCATTTATACATAGAGAAAGGGTTCTGTTATGTATACATGCTGCATGAATTTATATTAAATGGTGTGGTGATTGTTTCACCTTAGTATTACCTCCTGTACCTTTGCCTATTTTTTGTATATCGTCCAGTTAAATTATATGATACATACCACTCAGCATATATGTTTATCGTCATTTATTGCATTTATTATACTAATTTACATTACACTATAGTTATTAAATATTGATATATTGAAATATTATACATTAAAGATGTGTATTAATGATGCTTGTCTTACCTTGAACGTAAACTTCCAAATTGTTCTTGATAGAAGTGGTATTTTGGACTTTTCTAAATATCTCTGAAATTGTAGAATATGAACATGAAAGTAAGGATATAGACATGCAAACAGTGGACGTATTAAGGAAACAGGTAAAAAATTGTCTTTTTATGATTTGAAATAAAATCTTTAATGTGTTATAGTTTCTTTGTACTTTGTAATGCATACATATAAGTAAATTGCTATCAGTTTTTCTATGCCATCTATAAATCCTCTGTTTAGAAGCACTGGATATACATCAAAAGGATTGTGCAAGTAACACAGCTAGTACTCATTCACAAATCCATTGATGAACATCTCAGAAATACTCTGCTACACCAGCTGTTCAAATTGCATAAAGTCTTAGCAAATACATGGTGCTTCTGACCAAATAGTACTTACTGCTGCTCTATTACCAAACACAACAACAACAAAAAAAAATATACAAGCATTTCATAAATATAGATGGTTTATGAAATGTTCAAAATGGTTGTATTGGAATTTTATGGAAATTCCAACACAGTCAAAATATATAAGAGAAAGTAGGGAATACTTTGAATAAGTTGACAAAACTTGAAAAAAGGAGGAGCTTCCACTCAAGTTTTGGCACTTCCCACAGCCGTCGGTAGTGCCAGCTGCAGTATTATGTTATTGTTTCACTCATTGCAATACATGATCTATGGAGGCTCCAGTTGTGCTGTGGGATCTTCCACAGAGATTATTATTATCATTTATCTAGCGCCAACAGATTCCGTAGCTCTTTACAATATTTTGAGAGGGGGGATGTAACAATAAATAGGACTATTACAAGAAAACTTATAGGAACAATAGGTTGAAGAGGACCCTGCTCAAATGAGCTTACAGACTATAGGAGGTGGGGTATAAGAAACATTAGGACAGGAAATATCAAGTAGGAGTGAAGCAGAGCTGGAGGAGAGAGCAAAGCACTGTCCCATTGGAGAGAGCAGGAGAAAGGTATGTAAGGTAGAGATTACTCTGAAGAGATGGGTTTTAAGGCCCTTCTTAAATGATTGAAGACTAGGGGAGTCTGATGGCAGTAGGAGAGGAGCCGCCCGCAAGAGGTCCTGCAAGCGCGAGTTGGCCGTACAGGTGCGAGCAGCGGTCAGGAGGGAGTCACAGGCAGAGCGGAGGGTATGAGGAGGGGCATATCTATGGATTAGTGAAGAGATATAAGAGGGGCTAGAATTGTTCAGTGCTTTAAATATATGGGTTAGCACTTTGAATTGACTCCTATAGCATACAGGGAGCCAATGTAAGGCAGAGGGGTGAGGTGTGAGAGGGCCGACTAGAGAGGAAAATCAGTCTAGCTGCAGCATTCATTACAGACTGTAGCGGGGCAATACGGCTTTTGGGGAGACCAATCAGGAGAGGGTTACAGTAATCCATGCGGGAAATTACTAGAGCATGGACAAGCTCCTTGGTAGCATCTTGCGTAAGAAAGGGGCGGATGCGGGCTATGTTTTTGAGTTGGAACCTACAGGACTTGGCAACAAACTGGATGTGAGACCAGAGTCAAGTATGACGCCAAGACAGCGTGCTTGCAGGGATGGACTTATGTGGACATCACTGACTTGAAGGGAGAGCGAGAGAGGAGGATCGGTATTAGGAGGAGGAAAGACAAGGAGTTCAGTTTTAGAGAGGTTAAGTTTCAGAAAGCGTGAGGACATCCAGTCAGAGATTGAAGAAAGGCAAGCAGTGACACATTGCAGGACAGCAGGGGAGAGGTCCAGGGAGGAGAGGTATATCTGAGTGTCATCAGCGTACAGGTGGTAGTGGAATCCAAAAGAGGCAATAAGTTTACCAAGAGAGGCAGTATAAAGAGAAAAAAAGGGGACCAAAGACAGACCCTTGGGGAACTCCAACCAAGACAGGACGAGGAGAGGAGGTATCCTTGGAAAAGGAGACACTGAATGAGCGTTGGGAGAGATAGGAGGAAAACCAAGAGAGGACAGAGTCACAGAGACCGAGCGATTGAAGAGTTTGAAGGAAGAGAGCATGATCAACAGTGTCAAAGGCAGCAGAGAGGTCAAGGAGAATTAATATGGAGTAGTGACCTTTGGATTTAGCGGAGATTAGGTCATTAGTCACTTTGAGAGGGCGGAAGCCAGACTGAAGAGGGTCAAGGAGAGAGTTGGAATTAAGGAAGCGAGACACACGGATAAAGACAAGTCTTTCCAAAAGCTTTGATGAGAAAGGGAGCAGGGATATGGGACGATAGTTAGAAGGGGAGGATGGGTCAAGAGATGGTTTTTTCAGGATAGGTATTACAGTGGCATGTTTAAGGTCAGCAGGAACAGTGCCAGAAGAGAGAGAGCAGTTAAAGTTGTGTGTTAGGGTAGGCACAAGACAAGGGGAGAGAGATCTGATGAGGTAAGATGGGACAGGATCGAGCGGGCAAGTGGTGGGGTGAGAGGAATGGAGATCAATGTTCTACTGTTGCACATGTGACAGTGTATTAAGTATTCCTTATTCCTCCTGCTCCCATGGGTCACTGCACCTTTGTGATTGTCACCATGGGAAGTCTGCAAATTATGTAAAGACCCCCGAAGGGGACAGGACAAATTTATAAAAGACTGCTTACAAAGAACAAATGTAACGCTAGAGGGGCTAATAGGCGCTGAAGTCCCAGATCAAAATTTGGCACCATTTTATTGTTAGGCACGTGTCCCCTGTAATCCTGAGAGAGAAATAGCACCTTCCACTATATAATTTGTAACAGTGCCACTTAATACACTGTATTTTTAGATTTTTAATTTATACAGCACTGTTACGGATTATATCTGTGTGTGCAGGGTTTTAATGCAGTGAATTGAAGGCTTAATACAGCACGACTTGGGATAATAAGGCAGATATAGAGTTTAAAAACAGAGGTTCATATAATACTTTGACTTTTGTGACAAAGTGATTTATAGAACTCATATGGGTTGGACATGGCTTGTTTTAATTCAATATATGCAGGAGGGGCCAAAGGATGGCATCCCTGGTAAGCCAATGATGCACACTGGGGCTATTACAAAAGTAATATATTTTTTATAGTAATAATGATAATAATACAAAAATATTTTGATAATTTTCCTGGAAATACAGTTACTGCCCACTGTAGAGGTCATAATACTAGGAGTATCAGTATGCCTTTCCCCAGTAATAGGGCACACTGTTTGCCTCTTACTTGGGTCTTGTTGGGTGTCATGCCATTTGGCATGGCTGGCATTTGGCCATTTGGCATGGCTGCTGAACATCATCTGGCTTCTGCAGAGCTGCAGAAAGCAGATTTTGACCCTGCCAGTAATTTATTGGATGAGAGCCAATTGAGCCAGCATTAGCCAGCCCGGAACTCTTATTGTCTGGCAGAGATGGATTTACACCTCTGGAAGCAATATAAAATATCTAAGATCATGCAGCATTTCATACCGCAAACCCTGCACATATAGGGTCCCTGCACCACTTAAAAACACTGATTTGGTCTTGGTGCATAGAATAACCCTTTAAGTGCTATATATAAAATGAAAGAAGTATTTATGATGAATTTGACACTCTCACAGATGAAGTTCAAAAACTCAGTACTCAGACATGTATTCCTTTCACTATAGTGTTACATCTTTTTTAGATTCAGGACCACCATAACCATTCCATAACCATGTTCTTAGTTTGCAGAAATGCAGCTTAAGGAGTAACAGCACTGCAAGCATACACAGATAGACTAGTTATGTCTGTACAGCACTTTGCTAAAGGATTTCTATTAGTAGGATTATCAGAATCTGTCTGGACACTAAATGATCTCTCCATGTTTACTGCCAGGACAAGTGATAATAATCTTACTGACATTAGTGATGTGATGGAGAGCGAGTATTTCTGTTTTCATTAACATGCATCTAACGATGGCATTAAAGGGTACCTGGTGGAATAAGGGATAGAATAGGTAGAGGGATATTGTGTTTGTGTGCATGTTTATATGTGTTAGTGTGTGTGTGTGCATGTGTATATGTGTGTATGTTTATATGTGTTAGTGTGTATGTGTGTGTGTTTGTGTTTGTGTGTGTGTGTATGTGTAACAAAGTTTGACATATGGGAGCAATATAGGAAATGTCATGTTAATGTAGCAACACATAAGGCAATACATGTAGGGGACAATGTGAGTGTATATGGACAATGTGACATTGTCAGAACCGGCAGCATTTTGTCTTCCTTCTCAACCTTAGTACTCCGTATGACTGGCTGTGTGGGGTATTAAGGCACACTGCTTCACTGGCCACTTACTGTTCTGCCATGGAACAATAAGTATGGTAGGAGACAAAGCTTATTAGGGAGAGATAACTGTAGGGGATATCCTAGGTCGTTAAAACAAGAAGGGATTGTAAACTAGGGAGGGATAACTTTGCACTTACATTGCACACACACAGGAATACAGAACACAGACATACTGTACACAAATACTGACATTTCATGTGCACATAGGAACACTGACACCAACATACAGACATTACACATGCACATAGAAATACCAATTAAAACACATACGGACATTCTGAAAAAAAACAAACAAACATACATAAAGTTGTGCTCATACAGAAGCACTAACATACATGCACTGACAGTTCACACATAGAATCAACTGTTACACATTGACACTGTTCACACAGTGCATGATAATATTTTATTCCCTCATATCTTAAAGCATTTCTGCTTTACTTGGATATAAAAGTCACTTATGAGGTTAACAGTCACAAACAATCTCCTGATTAACATCCTGATTTTGGAGGGCTAGTCTCATTTCTCGGGTCCTATCTTGCAGTCACAACTAAAAGCGAGACACCAAGGAACTGTCCCCAGAAAGTGTAGTGCAAGTGCATCATTAACACTAGGAATCCGTCCTCAGTGGTCCAGGCTGCTTGATTGGCAAACAGCCTGGCCTGCACTCATGCCAGGCTGACCTGCCAGTAAATGAATCTGGCCCACCTAATTTCTCAGCAGATCCACCCCCTTTCGGGAGGAGCAAGTGATACCATTGTGTCACTGGCCTGCCACTCTTTACCCCTCCCACCGGTTTATAGATTTCAGATTAATTTGTAAACTGAAGAAGAAAAACATGAAAGAGTTCCTATAATCTTGTCTGTAATTTAGCATCTGCTTTGTCTATGAAAGACGTCACAGACAGAGCATCCCATAAGGGCATTACATCGGTAAACAGGATGTCATTTCTAGCAATGTGTTCTAAACAAGGAATTGATTTACAAATCCCCTTTGTCACCCTGACCTGCAGTAACCATGATCCAGATACTTAGAGGGATCTTGCTTCTGCTTCTAATCCATGTACCTTTTCTGAATGCGTCATTTGTGACCCAAAAACACGAGTTGATCTTACTAAGAATTAACGGACATAGTTATTGTTCTTTCTTGCACTTCAAGGTAACAACTTAACAGAAGCTTAACCCCTTAAGGATAGAGCTTCAGAAGCTTGTCTTTCACTTTAATGACAACAGCATTTTTTGCTGTTTGCGTTCAACTGCAATTTGCATTTTACTAATTTATTGCACCGACACATATTATATACCGTTTTTTTAAAGGACAGAAAGGGCTTTAATTTGATGTAACACATATAAATGCTTATTTATTAGAAAAAAATACAGAAAAATGCAACAACAAAAAATAGTGTTTTTTTTTTTTTTACAGTTTTTGCAATAATAATGTGTTCATAATTAGTGCAGGTTAAGGAAAGTAATTAAAATAAATTCATTTAGTTTTTCTGATTTACAGAATATATAATGTGTCTGGGATTTTCAGTTTTTTTTTGGTAGTTACAGGTCACAAAGCACAAGGAGTAAAATAAACTTTTAATGTGGAGCGATTTTAAAATTTGCTATGTTTGTCTTGTAAGCTTAATAGCCATAAAAGAAAACAAAATTGCCACACAAAAGTATATATTTATATAAAGTAGACATCACAGGCTATTTACCTAAGGTTGTTTTGACACTTTCTACATAGCCATTTCACTGTCAACCTCTGCTAAATATTGGAGTAAAATTGAGGGTTTTTTTTGTTTTTGGCACACAAACTTATAACAAAGAACTTCTCATGTGTATTTTGTAAAGTTGGTGTGTGCTATTCCTGTACAAAGTTTTATTTTGTGTTCAGTTACATCTGCTGAGTAAAATGACACCCCCATTGTTTGTCTTTGGCACTATTTCGTGAAGCTACAGTGCCATATAGGAAACCTGTCCTTTTCAGTACTCACAGTAGAATTTTGAAAGACGGATTTAATGAGCCTATGCTTCCATTTGGGGTATTATAACAGTTTGACTGTTCAAAAAAAACCCACAAAGGCCTACCATTTGTAAAAGTAGACACTCCAGGGTATCTCATACGGTGCATATTGTGCCTTAACATGCCCCCATTTTTTCACCAATAGATGCCAGAGTATGTGGTAAAAAATTATTTTGTGCGTTTTTTACATATGGATTGCATTTTTGCTGGGCATTTTGTATATTTCACATGTGCCATTAAGTTCAAACCCTGCATATTATGTTCAGCTAAGTCTTCTGAGTAAAATGACACCCCCATTGTATGTCTTCGGCACTATTTCGTGAAGCTACAGTGCCATATAGGAGACCTGTCCTTTTCAGTACTCACAGTAGAATTTTGAAAGACGGATTTAATGAGCCTATGCTTCCATTTGGGGTATTATAACAGTTTGACTGTTCAAAAAACCCCCACAAAGGCCTACCATTTGTAAAAGTAGACACTCCAGGGTATCTCATAAGGTGCATATTGTGCCTTAACATGCCCCCATTTTTTCACCAATAGATGCCAGAGTATGTGGTAAAAAATTATTTTGTGCGTTTTTTACATATGGATTGCATTTTTGCTGGGCATTTTGTATATTTCACATGTGCCACTAAGTTCAAATCCCCCAAATTATGTTCAGCTAAGTCTTCTGAGTAAAATGACACCCCCATTGTATGTCTTCGGCATTAGCATTTTTTCTGCCTTTTTGACACACACTTGGAGATGTTACTGTATATTTTGCAATCCTTATGTGTGCTACGGCAGTATAACTCAGCTATGTCCTCTTAGTGCAACAATACCCCCATGTGTACCTTTCTCAGGGTTATGTGGATGTTGAAGGGGCACATTGGAGACACATCACTTTCATATTTTTCAAAAGTGGATGCTGGGCCCAAGTCTCATTTTAGCAGCTCAGGACTGCAAATTACCTCTCAAAGGTCACATATATTTTTAAGTATAAGCAGCTCATCAATTCAAATTGATGAACAAGTGCATACTATTTGCTGTGAAAAGGGGGAATAGTTGGCTTAAACCTATCTGGGGGTAGTACCCAGTAATCTGTGTCACGGGCAACGCTGTCACGGATTCCAAAACACAGACAGACTACAAAGAGAGAGAACACAGAGAGAGACACTTGTAATACCGGTCCTTAGAATGGCCGGGCTATACAAGCAGAGAATTGTCAAGGTACAAGCCGAGGTCAAAGGAGTAAAGAGAAACGGAACAACGATAGGACAAGCCGAGGTCAAGGATCAGAGAAGACAGGATAAACGGGAGACAAAGCCAAGATTAGGTAACCAGACAGTTGACTAAATTCACACCCCAAAACTGGTCTGCTTATTCGGCCTGGGTGTGGAAAACTTTAAAACAGTGGCCAATACATAGGCCGGGCTGAGAGGGGCAATCAGGGCAGTAATAGCTGGTCTCAGCTCTTACGCCCCTCTTGTAACACACCCTGCACCTTTTCTGGGGGTTTTGTTTTTTAGGGGTTGGTGGAATCTTAAAGCAGAAGTGACCTGCCTCCATTCTTCTGCTAGGCTCCACTGATGGTCTCCTTGTGTGGCACTCAAGTAGCCCAGAAACGAGCTCAAACTGGAATGAAAGAAAAGTGCTTTTCAGCCCAGCATTTGCCTTTTTAAAAATGACAAAGGCATTGTGGATTGCCATCTGCATCAGATATATGCCCACTTTTTTATACCATGCCCTGGTCTTTCGCAAGATCAAATACGGCTGCATCAGTTGATCGCACAGGTCAACGCCGCCCATATGCCAATTATATTGCCGTATGCAAACTGGCACCCGTTTACATTCCTCTCTGCCATGAATTGCGACCCTCTGAGTGTTTTCACCATGGATGGTGGTTAAGATGAAAACATCCTTTTTATCCCTGTACTTGAGTGCCAGCAGTTCATTCTGGCAGAGAGCTTCTGTTTCCCCACTTTTCATTTTTTTGTTCGCTAGAGCCTTTGGGAAACCTGTGCAACTCTTCCTAATAGTGCCACAGGCCACGGTCTCGAAGCAGTACAACATATTTAACAGTGGGATGCTATTATAAAAGTTATCGATGTATAAATGATAACCTTTATTAAGTAGTGGCATTATTAAGTCCCAGACAATTTTCCCACTTGTCCCTATTATATCTGGGCAACCTGGGGGATCAAGGTGGCTATCCGTTCCTTCGTATACACGGAAGGTGTATACGTAGCCACTGCCACTTTCACACAGTTTATAAAATTTGATCCCATATCGGGATCTTTTGGATGGGATATATTGTCTAAACCACAGTCTTCCCTTAAACTTCATGAGGGACTCTTCAATGGAAATGTTTTTATTGGGGGTATAAATAGTGGCAAATTTACTGTTAAAGTGGGCAGTTAGAGGGCGTATTTTATAAAGAAGATCATACTGCGGATCACCTTTTGGGGGGCACTTGTTATTGTCACTAAAGTGCATAAATCAGAGTATGTCTTCATATCTTTCCCTCGTCATTGTCTCGGCAAAAATTGGGGTTTTGCAAATAAACCAATACATCCTAATTGTGGGCTTTTTAATTACCCCATTAACATGGTCAGTGCCCAGAATTGTTTCAATTCTGGCACACTGGTTGGATTCCATCTCTCTTTCCTGGAGATAAGAGAGGCTGGATTACGTGCCAGATACTGCTCCACATAGAGATTAGTTTGGGTGACTATTTCCCCAAAAATCTCATCCCCCAAGAACAGCTGCATAACATCCAGCGCGCTATAGCCAGACAGGTCAGCCTGTATGCCAGGATTAGCTGTAAACACTGGGATGTCTGGGAAAAAAATATTATTATTACCCAGTCATCTGCGCCATGTTCAGCATTAGAGGAATCGGCGCATAGTCCCTGGCACATAGTCCCTGTCCCCTGCGTCACTCTCTGAGGCAGTGCCTGTCGCCTCTGAGTCGGCCTCTAACAGGGCATAAGCCTCCTCTGCACTATACTTCCTGAACATTGTTAAAGGGATACTATAGTCACCTGAACAACTTTAGCTTATTGAGGCAGTTTTGGTGTATAGAACATGCCCCTGCAGCCTCACTGCTCAATCCTCTGCCATTTAGGAGTTAAATCCCTTTGTTTATGAACCCTAGTCACACCTCCCTGCATGTGACTTGCACAGCCTTCCATAAACACTTCCTGTAAAGAGAGCCCTATTTAGGCTTTCTTTATTGCAAGTTCTGTTTAATTTAGATTTTCTTATCCCCTGCTATATTAATAGCTTGCAAGACCCTGCAAGAGCCTCCTGTATATGATTAAAGTTCAATTTAGAGATTGAGATACAATTATTTAAGGTAAATTACATCTGTTTGAAAGTGAAACCAGGTTTTTGTTCATGCAGGCTCTGTCAATCATAGCCAGGGGAGGTGTGGCTAGGGTTGCATAAACAGAAACAAAGTGATTTACCTCCTAAATGACAGTAAATTGAGCAGTGAAATTGCAGGGGAATGATCTATACACTAAAACTGCTTTATTTAGCTAAAGTAATTTAGGTGACTATAGTGTTCCTTTAAATACAGTTAACACAGCTAACAAAACTTTATTAAATAACTAAACTTTTTTTATATATATATTTTATTCCCTAATTCCCACTAAATTCCACCCAAGTAACTAAATCATAAACTAATAAAATCAAATAATAAAATTTAACCGCTTAGGGTTACAAAAAAAACATAAAATTTAACCCTTGAAATGAAAAAAAAAAATAGATCACATTAAAGTATTGTGACCTGTATATTGATCACTGCTAGCAGTGATCAAGCAGCAGGGAAAGGGTTAATTTTTTTTTTAATAAAGAGGAAAGGGATTAGGAACCTTTTATAGATATTCACTATTCTTCTGGGACACAATGTTGCAATGATCCGTCTCTCTCCACTTCACAAACCCACACGAGGTGGAGGGAGGCGGATCAGATATCCCAGCAGCATTGTGACCGCTGTGACTGGTTGTCACAGCGAACACATGGGCTGGGATATTGGGATTTGCTGTTGCTGGTCTGCCCCTGACTCAAAAGGCACCCAGCAACAGCGTTAACCCCGCGATCGCCGGCACCACGGCGATCGGGGGTTAATTTTAACGCGTGACGGACGAGGTCTGTCACTCGTTAACGCTTTCCCCTGAGTGACGGACCTCGTCATAATAATAATAATCTTACTTTTTATAAAGCTTGCCATCCCCAGGGGACTCAAAATGCAATATGCTTTCTGAAGAAACCCATTCGAAAGATAGTAAATAAATAAATATTGTAGAATGTTATACATAGAAAAATCTAGCACTTTAGCACAGTGAAAGCTGAAAGACTAGAGAACCTTTTAACAGAGTGTATTATTATACAGACAAAAATAAACAATATTTTTTGACAAGACGAAGTGATCTAACTAAACAGCTAGTTAGGAAAATTAGTCTTAAAGAGCAGATATGGTGTGATTAAATCTACAACACTGCTTAAATGGACACTCCAGACACCAAAACAACTTAATCTAAAGGAAGTTGTTATGGTTCCAGGAGCCCCCCAGAGGTACTCAAGGGGTTAAACCGCTCCAGCAGCGATTTCCACTCCCGCCCCTGTTGGCATCCGGCTTCTGATATTCCACTTTCAGGGCTGCTGATTGGTTGAGAGCGGTCAGCTGATGCTCCCAGCAAATCAGTGACTCCCATTCACAAAACTGGCATGGAAAAGGTACATGGGGAGTGAATGGAGAGTCACTGATTGCCTGAGAGCGTCAGCATCTCTTGGAGTTAAACTGTTCGAGTATGGTTTAACCCCTTGAGGTAAAAATGCCTCCGGGGGCCTCCTTAATTTAGATTAAGTTGTTTTGGTGCCTGGTCTCTTTAATGGGCCACTTCACAAAACCAGCACACCTTTGCACTGTTCAACCATTTTGGCTCTAAGAGTGGCTCAGAACTGTAGCAGAATTCTGGGCTGTCTGTATGAATTGTTTACCCTTGAGTTTAGCTTGCCGAACTATAGGTTGAGGCATTGCTGAGAGCTTAATATGACACTCCAAACCCCTAAAGCACTTTAGCTTATTGAAAAGAGTGTGTCCTATTTTTTCATTTTCCCAAAAAGTTCAGATTTCAACAGATATTAACACTTTTATAAATTAACCTGGTTACACCGTCCTGACTTTCAAGGAGACAGGTCCCATTACTTCCTGGTTTGGTTAGCTCAATGGAACTAAACTCAAGAGGCAGCAATTACTCAACACACCTGCATTGAAAAGACTTCAGATTGAGTGGCATTGTAATGTCTGTGATTGGACAGCCACAGAAAGTCTGGGCAGGGTGAGAAGGGGAGGACTAGCAAAGGTTACAGACAACAGATCTGCAGGCTTAACAAACTGTCTTTAGATAAAACCATTGGGCAGCAGGCAAAGTCTAAACTGTTGGAGCTGCAGTGGGAGGTGTAAAAAGCATGACAAGAAACTAGTATCTGTTGATTTACTGTTACTTGCATTAGGGTTACTGTGGTAACCCATACCTTGATCTAATATTTTGTAATCGGCTACCTGCACCCCAAAAAAACTGCAGCTGAATGGAGTTAAATTGCCCCAGCTTCTTTACAGGAGCCCCAGGTATTGAACTCTAATTAGGCATTTAAATGCCTATTTAAAGAGACGCTTTCCGTGCTGACTTCCAGTGCTGCAAGAAGCTCATCACTTATATTCATCCCAACACATTAAGGGGAGTCTCAGGTATCCATTCATACTGGGGTTGGTGGAGAAAGCACGAATTTAACCCTGCTCACACCGCAATCTTTTAATAGAAGTTAAATGTCCATTTAAAGAACTTCCAGTGCTGCAAACAGCTCATCTAAAAGTCTGGGGCCACAAAAATTGCCCCAACAGACAGAGGGGAGCTCCAGGTTTCCACTGATACCTGGGACTCCCTAGTGTGAGCAGGGATTTAACTCTGCACACACCAAATATGCCGGGCTTTCTATGCCGTCCTAAAGACATTAAAACATTTACATAGGACGGCATAAAAAGCCTTCTTATTTACTACGCCCTGTATGCTCCTGTGTACCAGTTGTTTTTATTCTCATCAAAACATGCAATAGAAAAATAAATATATACATTGGTTAAATAAGGTTATGTACAAATTATACAAATAACAGTTTCATGCAAAAATATGACTTTCCCAAATCTTTACACACAGATTACAGGAAATACGAATATACAAACCTACAGCAAACAGACATGTTGTTATGTCAATTCAGCTGGGTAGACTGGTTAACAAATAACTTTTTTAAAATTTTTCTCACTTTGTCCTATGAATGCTCTTTGTATATAGGTCAACACACAAACACTGCAGTAGAGGCCAGAAATAGAACTGTAAACATACCACTTATACAATAAAATTAGGTTTAGTCACTACATTACTAAAATCTAACAAGGAATTTTAGAACACAAAAATTCTAAGCTATATCTCCAGATTTGGAGCTATATCTCCAGTTTTAACCCAATAGTTGTGGATTCCTTGTAAATTCTGTTCTGTGAATAAACCCAAGGTAAAATCTGCATTATATTTTAGTAATACATACCCGTTCGTTAAACTATGTAGGATAGAGTGGTGGTTATTAACACGCCTCTCCTTGTCTTTGGAAGATCACGGTCTACGTGTGCTTATGTCCTGTCAGCTTCCCTTTCTGTGCATCTCATTCCTCCTCCCAGTCTTTTTTCTCAGGCAAAAAGTAGGTCACTATGTCGACAACAACGCAGGAAGGAGGAGATCTGGCTCACCTCCAATTTTTCACACATCACTGAAATAGATCACCAGCAGGGGTTTAAAGCCTGAAATTTTTATATTGGTAAACAGTACATCTTCTTCCCCGCCCCAGGACAGGTGATTAACGCTTTAAGGACTGATCCAAATGTACACGTTGTGATCAAAACAAAACAAACAAAACCTTGAATTTGCGCTATATGTCTGTTCAGGCGTAATTCACCTCTTTCATATTATGTGCACCCACACTTATGATATATTATTTTATTCAGGGGAACAGACCTTTTATTTAACATCAAATATTTAGGTATGAAACATAATTTAATATGAATAAAATATAAAAAAAATTGGAAAATAAGATTTTTTTTACTATTGTTTTAGTTCTACGTGACATTTTAACTGTTAATGTCATAATAATGTTTGCTTTTACTGCAATAAAATACACATATTTGTATGTCTCACGTGTAAAACAGTACCCCCTATGTACAGGTTTTATGGTGTTTTTGGAAGTTACAGGGTCAAATATAGCACGTTACATTTTTCAGTTTTTTCACATTGAAATTCGCCAGATTTGAGACCATATGGTTAGGGCCGGCCTTAGGCGCCCTGTGTGAAAAATCTTCGCAGTGCCCCCTGCGCCCCAGTCAAACAGGCAGATAGTCAAACACACACATGCAGAGGCAGACAGCCACACACACACACACACACAGGTACTCACATAAACAGCAGCAGACAGTCAAACACACACACAGGCAAACAGTCACACAAACAGACAGTCACACATACAGGCAGAAAGTCATACACACACACACACACACAAACACACAGGCAGACAGCCATACACACAGGCATACACACACATACACACACACACACACACACAGAGGCAGACAGCCACACACACACAGTCACAGTCACACAGGCAGTCACACGCACACACAAAGGCAGACAGTCACGCTGTCAGACAGACAGTCACACACACACACACACACAGAGGCAGACAGCCACACACAGGTACTCACACACACAGAGGCAGACAGCCACACACACAGGCAGACAGTCACACACACACACAGGCAGACAGCCACATACACACACAGGCAGATACACACAGGCACACACACACACAGGCAGACAGCCACACAAAGGTACTCACACACACAGAGGCAGACAGCCACACACACAGGCAGACAGACACACACACACACATATAGGAACTCACACACACACACAGACAGTTGCACATACTCATAAACACTCACAGACAGTCAGTCATACATGGGGACCACTGTCCTTTATGGTCTGGAGGAGTGAAGGCAGTGCAGCTCTGGTTGTTGGGGAAGCTTCCCATGCAGCCGTCATTTAAGCTCCAACCCTGCCGCAAGGTAAGCCCCGCCCCCATCGCAATGCTGGGAGTTTTTTTCTAAGCCCGGGTGGAGAATAATGTAATTCTCCACCCGGATAGCTGGCCACGTGCGAGCTGTGTCGGCCACATGGCGCCCCCTGCTCCACGGCGCCCTGTGCACCGCACAGGTCGCACAACCCTAAGGCCGGCCCTGCATATGGTAGCCCAGGAATGAGAATCACCCCCAAGGTAATGCAAATGGGGTATGCCCAGTCTTTTTTAGTAGCCACTTGGTCACAAACACTGGCCAAATTTAGTGTTAAAATTTGTTTGTGTGTGAAAAATGACACTTAGTGTTTGTGACTAAGTGGCTACTTAAAAAGACTGGACATACCACATTTGCAATTCCTTGGGTTGTCTACTATTGCAAATGGTGTGCCATCATGGGGGTAATTTTCATTCCTGGGCTTCCATACGGTCTCCTTTACGGTCACAAGGAACTTGCAATCACATGGCCCAGGAGGGCCAGAACTGCAGCAGGGGGACTCCCTGGGATGCCAGATGAGTCCTCCTCCCCCCCCCCCACCCCCCCCCCACTGTCCTTAAGGGGTTAAAGAATAAATAGTAATGTATAAAAACCTTGTGTGTTTCCTCAGGTAATTTTTATGTCAAATTGTCTGAAAAACAAACCAGTTTGTTTTTATTTCTCATAAAAAAGTTAATAATTAGATACAGAGGCTTTGTGGCTTTATATGCAGTGGATCTATAAAACACTGGAATACTTGTATGTCTCATGCTACATTGTGAATTAAAATGGTGTGTGGCAAAATGTATGTAAGATACAGATATGTGATTTTTATATTAACACCCTGTTCCGAATTATTATGCAAATTATATTTTTCACATTTACCTAAATAATTGATGCAAATAACAGTCAGCATAATTCTCATGTTATCAACTATTAAGAGTACAATTCAAATTTTATTGAACAAACCTCCTAATGATAACAGTATTTTTTTTAAACAAAAAACGTACAATGCACTGTTCCAAATTATGACGCACAGTAAGTTTCAAAACACTTTAAAGGTTGTAAAGAACTGAAAATTGTAATTTGTTGTGTTTGCAGCATTTTTACTGAAATCAAAAGCTGTTTCAATCAAACTTATAACAACATTTTAACTTTTTAAACATTTTAACAGGTCACGTTACATTTTAACATAGGACCCCTTATTTGATAGCAGCTTCACAAGGCTTGCATCCATTGAACTTATGAGTTTTTGGACAGTTTCTGCTTGAATTTGTTTGCAAGATGTCAGAATAGCCTCCCAGAGCTGCTGTTTGGATGTAAACTGCCTCCCAACCTCATAGATCTTTTGCTTGATGATGCTCCTAAGGTTCTCAATAGAATTGAGGTCAGGGGAGGATGGAGGCCACACCATGACTTTCTCTCCTTTTATCCCAGCCATTGATGCAGAGGTATTCTGATGCATGAAGATGATTTTATTAAGGAAAGCATAGTTCTTCCTTCTGTACTAGGGAAGAAAGTGGTCAGTCAGAAACTCCACATACTTTGCAGAGGTCATTTTTACACCTTAGGGGACCCTAAAGGGGCCGACCAGCTCGCTTCCCATGATTCCGGCCCAAAACATGACTCCACCACCGCCTTGCTGACGTCGCAGCCTTGTTGGAACAGGGTGGCCGTCCACCAACCATCCACTACTCCATCCATCTGGACCATCCAGTGTTGCACGGCGGTGAACAGGACTGTTTGAAAATTAGTCTTCATGTATTTTTATGACCAATGCAGCCATTTCTGCTTGTGAGCATTGGTTAGTGGTGGCCGAATAGAAGGTTTATGCACAGTTCCAAGACTCTGGAGGACTCTACACCTTGATGTCCGTGGGACTCCAGAGGCACCAGCAGCTTCAAATATCTGTTTGCTGCTATGTAATGGTATTTTAGCAGCTGCTCTCTTGATACAATGAATGGATCTGGCAGAAATCTTCCTCAAAGTGCCTTTATCTGCACATCTCTTAATAGTGCGATGATCACGCTTAAGTTATTGTGAAATATCTAATGTTTTCATAACTCGTCCAAGGCATTGAACTATTTCACACTTTTCGGCAGCAGAGAGATCCTTTTTCTTCCCCATATTACATAAAAATGGTGCTCTACCTAATAAAGTGGAACACCCTCCTTTAGTAGTTTTTCCTTAAATTGGGCTTACCTGGCAATCTAATTATCACAGGTGTCCGAGATTGTTATCAGTGATCAAAAGAGCCCTGAGACACAATGCCATCCATGAGTTAAACTGAAAAACTAAATATTTAATCTTTGTGACACTTAAATAGAATAGAAACATAGAAACATAGAATGTGACGGCAGATAAGAACCATTCGGCCCATCTAGTCTGCCCAATTTTCTAAATACTTTCATTAGTCCCTAGTCTTATCTTATAGTTAGGATAGCCTTATGCCTATCCCACGCATGCTTAAACTCCTTTACTGTGTTAACCTCTACCACTTCAGCTGGAAGGCTATTCCATGCATCCACTACCCTCTCAGTAAAGTAATACTTCCTGATATTATTTTTAAACCTTTGTCCCTCTAATTTAAGACTATGTCCTCTTGTTGTGGTAGTTTTTCTTCTTTTAAATATAGTCTCCTCCTTTACTGTGTTGATTCCCTTTATGTATTTAAATGTTTCTATCATATCCCCCCTGTCTCGTCTTTCCTCCAAGCTATACATGTTAAGATCCTTTTAACCTTTCCTGGTAAGTTTTATCCCGCAATCCATGAACCAGTTTAGTAGCCCTTCTCTGAACCCTCTCTAAGGTATCAATATCCTTCTGAAGATACGGTCTCCAGTACTGTGTACAATACTCCAAGTGAGGTCTCACCAGTGTTCTGTACAATGGCATGAGCACTTCCCTCTTTCTACTGATAATACCTCTCCCTATACAACCAAGCATTCTGCTAGCATTTCCTGCTGCTCTATTACATTGTCTGCCTACCTTTAAGTCATCAGAAATAATCACCCCTAAATCCCTTTCCTCATATGTTGAGGTTAGGACTCTATCAAATATTCTGTACTCTGCCCTTGGGTTTTTACGTCCAAGATGCATTATCTTGCACTTATCCACATTAAATGTCAGTTGCCACAATTCTGACCATTTTTCTAGTTTACCTAAATCATTTGTCATTTTGTTTATCCCTCCTGGAACATCAACCCTGTTACATATCTTAGTATCATCAGCAAAAAGATATACCCTACCATCAAGACCTTCTGCAATAATAATTTGGAACAGGGTATTTTTCATAATAATGAATTAAGACAAAATGCTGAAAAACGTTTTGATCATACAGGGTTATTCACCAAAGTGAGAATTGTCATGAATTTAGAGTGCATTCAAAGTGAATTTCAAGTTTTAGACATAAATAGCTAAACTGGAGGCATATTTGATTTGGAAAATTATTATTATTTATGAAGCGCCAACAAATTCTGGAGCGCTGTATAATGGGTGGACTAAGAGACAGGTATTTGTAACCAGACGAGTTGGACGACAGGTAAAGAGGGAGTTGAGGCCCATGCTTAAATGAGCTCACATTGTAGGGAATGTAGCCAGGTCTGCTCTTTGGTTCTTAAATTTGAAATTCACTTCAAGCTTACTTTGAATTCCTGACAATTCTCACTTTCGTAAATAACCCTGACAACCTTTTAAATAATTGTAAATAATTAAATAGTTTCTCCAACCCTTCCTGGTCAATAGTTACATTTACTTTAAAATGCCCTAAGGGCCATTGCTAACTATGTCCCTTTTATTATACAGCAGTAAAATAATAATAAATTCACCTGGAATCCAGTGTCGGGCAAAGCTCCAGGCACCTCCTTCCACGCCCTTATCAGATGTCACCAAGGGCCTTGCGCGGTCTAGTCAAATACTTCTCTATGACCATTTCAACGGCTAAGAGCACATGTGTATGATCTGAGCCGGAGAGAAGATAGGAAAAAGGAGGGTATATAATTTTTTTTTTTAAATCAACAAATCAACAGCATTCAATGGACTCAGGGAGGGGAGAGAAAGCACTGCTTGCAAGGGTGAAGGTGCTAACATCTGTGATGATGTACGTACAGTAATGACATTTCGCAGTGTAGAATAGAGTTTCTGTTTAAATCACATGGGCTAGGGTTGTAACTAGCCCCAAAAGTGCAGTTTACATTGTATGTGTAGTGTTTCAAGCAGAAAAGCTGCATATACAGACTAGGGATGTGCATGGGGAAAATTTTAGGTTCGGTTCGGCAACTTCGGCACTTCGGAATTTCAGAACTTCAGCACTTTGGGACTTCTCTTGCAGCCGCTTAGTAGATAACTCCCACGGTGTGGCTGCTCACAGTAAAACAGTAAAAAAAAACACAAAAAAAAACCCCAGCCCCCACCCCTGAATGAAGGGTGGAGGGTCTAAAGTAAAATAAGGGGGGGACCTATTGTCCTCCCCGCCCAGCCCCCACCCCTATGCGGTGGGTGGGGGGCCTAAAGAAGAATAAGGGGGGGACCTGTTGTCCTCGCTGCTGGCCCCCGCCACTGAGTGGTGGATAGGGGCCCTAAGTTATTGTCCTCTCCCCTGGCCCCTACCCTTGAGCGGCAGATGGGGGCCCTAAATATCAATAAGGGGGGGACATATTGTCCTCCCCCTGGCCTCCACCCCTGAGCGGCGGGTGGGGGCCCTAAGTTAGAATAAGGGGGGGGAAATCGACTGGCATAAACTCCTTAGTGATAAAAACACTGAGAAAAAATGGAAACTATTCAAACAAATATTAGAAGGGTACATTTCTCAGTATGTACCATTGGGTAATAAATATAAAAGAAGGGGGCGGGGCCTGACCACTGAACTGTGAGGAAGCATGCCTCACCAGCTCCTGAAACTTTGAGCAAACAATGCAGATTTTGGATGCAAAAACGGCATTAAAATATTATTTAAAGGCAACCAAGCGACCGTCGACAATAAGGCATACACACAGACACCACCCAAGCGACGATGTTACCCAGGCACAACGGAACTCGAGGCGGGCGCGGGGAAGATGGATGATTTCCTGCAACCCTCACAAGCCAGGTGCCGTTCTCCGGGCCCGCTCCCCCCTCCTGGAACGGTGGGGGTCATCCCGGTCCACCCCCTCACAGTCCCCTTGAAAGGAGATGAACGGGCGAAACGATAGTGCGGTGTGGAGATCGCTGACAAAATGGCGGATGGCACACATGCCTCAGCCCTCCATGAGGCCAAGCGAGACATGGAGCTCCGACGCGCACGTATGTTCGACTCCTTCTGGGAGCGGCTGGTAAAACTTGCGTGGCCCCCGGAGCCTGGGACCCAGCCGGAGGGCAAGCTTCAAGACCCAGTACAAGAAGCTCCAGAGAGAGGCCCAGCAAGCACTGCAAGCTCCCATCCCGGGCCCCACAGGCTCCTAAGAAAATCCACCCCGCTAGCAGAGACCCGGAGGCTCACTAAAGGCAATCACAGCCAGACCAAGGCCAAGCACATCGGGGGCATCCCCGTACAGCAGCAGTGCAGGAATCAGCCTCACCGCCCAGCAGTGACACAGCTGAAGAGAGGTATGGGCAACTTTACGCATACAAACAAGCGGTGGACCACAAGGCCTACCAAGGAGACCACGACAGTACAACGCCATGGGTACGGCTACAGCCTGAGAACACACAGTCAGGTGAGACCCAATGCCAGAGCCACAGTATACTCACCAACACAGATGCCGGCCCACGTTAAGACACACTATCCACAAACCGCCGGACCGAGGGGACTGCGACTCACATCACTGCAGCACAGACTGGCACAGGGGGCACTCACTCAACCTCTAAAAGGCATTGGCTGACACAGCGGAGACTATGACTTCATAGGCTAAGTGCTTACTACCACTCAGGTTTTTCCACTCCAAATGGACTCACATGATTGTCTTGCCTCTCAGTTTCCTGGACTGCTCGCACAGGGGTTGACGGGGGGTTTATTAGCTATAGGATGAGAGTATTTATGCTCAGACTGGCTCAGATTCAAGCAAGTTTTATATTTATTTATGGTTTTGCTGTCTGCAACCTAGGCTACAAAACATGCATGTTTATTTTTCAGTTTTTTGAAGCACAAGTAGTCAGATCTGCATACTATGCAGTACTATAAGCGAGCTGAACGTAATCTACCATGGCAGCATGTTCTAATCTTTTCAGAACATTCTCACCTCTGCCTAAGCTCACTCGCAGCATTGTTATTTCATGTTAATGTTTACTATTATGCAGCAAGGAATTTCCAGCACAACTAACTGAAAGAAATGTACTCTCTCTTGCTAGCCTTAGCATTTAATGATAACCTGTTTGCATGTACTAGTATTATCTTATTACTCAACCTTAATGTCAGTCTGCATTTCGGTCCTCCACGTTTTCTGTTGCATGTTTTACTGACAAGGCTACTGTTTAACCCTGAAATAAGCATGAATACTATATAAAAAAAATGTGCAGATTTGGACAACTCCAGACAAGGTGCTACAGCTATTAAAGAATATTAATGTAAATAAAGCTTTGGGGCCTGACGGTATCCACCCACGAGTACTTAAGGAGCTAAGTGGGGAAAGAAGTGAACCTCTGTATTTAATTTTTCAAGATTCTTTTGTTTCAGTTATTGTACCGAAGGATTGGAGGAAGGCAGATATTGTTCCTATATTTAAAAAGGGTTCAAAATCCTTGCCTGGAAATTATAGACCTGTGAGCTTAACTTCTGTGACTGGAAAATTATTTGAACAGCTATTAAGGGATAATATTCAGGAATTCATTGGGAAAAACTGTGTTATTAGCAATAATCAGCATGCTTTTATGAAACATAGGTCATGTCAAACTAACCTAATTGCATTTTACGAAGAAGTAAGTAGAAGTATAGATCAGTTGCAGTGGATGTGATCTACTTGGATTTTGCCAAGGCATTTGATACAGTTCCTCACAATAGGTTAGTCTTCAAACTAAAAGAAATTGGTCTAGATGAATATTCTTGTTGTTGGGTAAAACATTGGCTTAAGGATAGAGTACAACGAGTTTTCATTAATGGTAAATTTTCAAGCTGGACAAAAGTGGTAAGTGGTGTTCCTCAGGGTTCTGTTTTGGGACTGCTTCTATTTAACATATTTATAAATGATCTTGAAATGGGCATTGAAAGCCATGTATCAGTGTTTGCAGATGACACAAAACTTTGTAAAGTAATAAAATGTGAGCAGGATATTGCCTTGCTGCAGAGGGATTTTGATAGATTGGGGGACTGGGCACTAAAATGGCAGATTGAATTTAACGTAGAGAAATGCAAAGTTATGCACTTCGGGGTTAAGAATGCACAAGCAATTTACACCCTAAATGGTAGTGAACTAGGGATAACCACACACAAGACGGATTTGGAAATTGTTAGAGACAACAAATTAGGCAGCAATATGCAATGTCAATCTGCAGTTGCTAAGGCCAGTAAGGTTTTGTCATGTATAAATAGGGGCATAAATTCTCGAGATGAAAATATAATTTTGCCTCTTTATAAATTGCTGGTAAGGCCACACCTTGAATATGCTGTGCAATTTTGGGCACCTGTTCTAAAGAAAGATATCATGGCACTAGAAAAAGTGCAGAGACGAGCTACAAAATTGATAAAAGGAATGGAGCATTTTAGTTACAAAGAAAGGCTAAAAAAATGTAAATCTCTTTAGTTTGGAAAAACAGCGCCTGAGAGGGGATATGATAACATTATACAAATATATTCGGGGCCAGTACAAACCTTTATCTGAAAATAAGGGGGGACCTATTGTCCTCCCCCTAGCCCCCACCCATGAGCGGTGGGTGGGGGCCCTAACTTAGAATAAGGGGGGACCTATTGTCCTCCCCCCTGGCCCCCACCCCTGAGCAGTGGGTGGGGCCCTTAATAAAAATGTAATCCCCCCAGGTGACTAGAGGTCCCCAAACCCCTAGTCACTCCCTCCCCCCCAATAAATAACCCCTACCTTCCCCCCTCACCCTAAAAATAAGGAGGGGGGACCATTAACTAGATACCTGTAAAAAAAACAAAACAAAAAACACTTATCATTTGATCTCTTCTTTCTTCTAAAATCTTCTCTTTTCAGCCCCAAAAAAGGCCAAATAAATATCCTTAATAACCAACGCACTTTGAAAAACAAAAAACAAAACCCTGAGCGCCCCCCCAAAAAATTAATCTTCACCCATGGAGGGCTCCGCGCAGACTGAGCTCTGCAGGGCGGGGGAAGGCTTATAAAGCCTTGCCCGTCCTACAAATAGGCTCAGAGCACTCTGGTTGGTTGGTTAAAGCCATCCAAACAGCGTGCTCTGACAGGTAAATGAAGAGACTGACAGGTAAGGCTCTACACATTTACCTGTCACAGCACTCTGATTGGTTAGCTTGAAATCCAGCCAGATTGCTCTGTCTCATTTTACACAGCGTGGGAAAGTTCTTTGGAATTTTCCCACGCTGTGTAATTTGACTCATAACAACACTCTGATTGGTGGATTTATGAGTCAAATTACCTGGGGTGTTAAATTTTTATTTAGGGCCCCCACCCGCCGCTCAGGAGTGGGGGCCAGGGGGAGGACAATAGGTCCCCCCCCTTATTGGTATTTAGGGCCCCCACCCGCCGCTCAGGGGTGGGGGCCAGGTGGGAGGACAATAGGACCCCAAATTTACTATTTAGCAGTTTAGCACCAAAAAAAGTAGAATTTTTACAACTGCGCCTGTAGCCGCAGTATTTGATGCTTTTTTTTGACTCTCAGATATTAAGAGCACCCCACTAATGTACTTTTTCGCACCCAAAAAATGTTAAGTTTTAAAACTGCAATGTGACAGCAGTATTTGACGCTTCTATTTGACTCACAGATATGAAGAGTACACCCCAAATTTACTATTTAGCAGATTAGCACCCTTAAAATAAGAATGTTTACAATTGCGCTGTAACCGCACTATTTGACGTTTCTATTTGACTCTCAGATAGGAAGAACATGCCCCAAATTCACTATTTAGCAGTTTAGCACCAAAACAATTAGAATTTTTACAACTGCGCCTGTAGCCGCAGTATTTGATGCTTTTTTTTTACTCTCAGATATTAAGTGCACCCCACTAATGTACTTTTTAGCACCCAAAATGTTTTAAGTTTTAAAACTGCAATGTGACAGCAGTATTTGACGCTTCTATTTGACTCTCAGATTTGAAGTGCACACCCCAAATGTACTATTTAGCACCAAAAAAAATTGACTTTTTAAAACTCTGATGTAACCACAGTATTTGACGCTTCTATTTGACTCTCAGATATGAAGTGCACCCCACTAATGTACTAGTTTGCAGAATGCTTTCCTAATCTGTCCCTGAAAGCGGCAGCATCCTCTAACTACACTAATAAGAGCTCATGTGCATGCGGTGCTACGTGACTCCAGCTTATATATACAGAGGCTGGGTCACATGCTGCACTGGCCAATCACAGCCATGCCATTAGTAGGCATGGTTGTGATGGCTTCTAAGGGCACACAAGTCAAACGCTTGTTGATTGGCTGCCCTGCATCCTTTCAAAACGCACCATTAAATCGCCGAACACCGAACTCCAACCCGAAAATACAGTGATATGTCAGTGTTCGGGGTCCAAAAAATGGAATGTTTGGTACGAACCCGAACTTTACAGTCAGGGTTCGCTCTTCTCTAGTTATGTCACTGATTACAGGGCAAACTATGGAGTTGGGAGGTATGCATAAAGTATACCTATACATTAATGCAAATATGACTCAAACATGACTCAACACATAACACGAGATACCAATTTAATCATAATGTAGTAATACGATAATAAGAGTGTTGCTTGAATCAGTGACCTAAACGGCTACATATGCAGGAAATGTTCACATCTGTATTACAAAAACAATGACACATCATCTTGTTGCTACGTATATCCTTGTAATAAAGACATTTATAATCCACTCAACTTTACATTTTGTGGCTAATTATGATATCTCCAGAACCCATTGATGGCATAACAACAGCTCATTATTGATAATATATCCAGCTCCTCTATGGGTATGTAACTAATAGGAGAATGACTGGATTAACAGCATCAGCTACAAGTAACAGCACCTATTGTAGAATATAGTTCCCACGTGCAAACAGATGGTAGTTTAACCCCTTAACGACCTAGGACGGTTCAGGACCGTCATCGGCATTTTTGCGTTGCCGACCGGTGACGGTCCTGAACCGTCCTAATGGTAATATGTACTTACCCGATCGCCGTCGTTCCCCCGGCGGCGATCGGCGGTGTTCCCGGTGTGGGGAGACTGCCTGCAGCCCAGACAGTCTCCCCCATGGCGGATTAGGACTCCTGGGGCCATGTGATCGGTCAGCCTGTGCTGACTGGCAGTCTCTCTGCTAGTGTAAAATCATAAAAAAAATTAAAGGTTAATGTTAATTAAAAAGATTTAATAATTATATATGTGTTTATATTATATCTATATAATATATGTCTATATATCATATATATATATATATATATATATATATAATGTCATACTAAGTGTATTTTTATATTAATATGTACTTATATTAATATAAAAATACACTTATTAAATTACAAACATATATATATATAATATATATAATAACTATATATATTGTATATATATATTATTATTATTATGATATTTATAGAGCGCCGTCAAATTCCGCAGCGCTTTACAATGGGTGGACGAACAGACATGTAGTTGTAACCAGACAAGTTGGACACACAGGAACAGAGGGTTGAGGGCCCTGCTCAATGAGCTTACATGCTAGAGGGAGTGGGGTAAAATGACACAAAAAGGTAAGGATAGT